GGACTAAAAAATGGCGGAAAATTGGAAGCACTGAACGTTAGAACTATAGAACGAAGACACTTCCTTTTCTCCGGACCCGAGTCCAAATAACATTTTTTCATATTCGGACTCGAGTCCGAATAAGAATTCTTTTTATTCGGACTCGAGTCCGAATATGAAAAAATGTTATTCGGACTCGAGTCCGAATAACGACGGCCTAGTTAATAATTAAACACAAGAAGGTAAACAACTGCTGCCAGAGAAAAATTAGTCTCAGACTTAGATGGTCTTAGGCCTTAGGCTGTAGGGCAGGTGGCATCTTAGCCCGCTTTTTTCCGTCATGGACAGGGGACTGATGAGGGAAATTTATGGAGAGGGGACTCACTGGCGCTTGTCAGAAATGGTGGGGTGACAGTAACGACACATCAAAACCTCACACCTCCAAGTTCATATCCATGCTACTCTTGTTCTTGATAATTAATAAGGATAAAAGGGCATTCGTCTGTCTTACCAGTCAGTGCCACTTGACTAGATAGATCTTATAGGTCTACTGTCTAGAGTGCTTGCTTCTCATCACTGTTCGCTCAATTTCAGGCTTAATAAAAGCAGGAGCTGAAACAATTGAATGCTTCCCTTGTCCTGTTTTCACCATATTATATTAGGCCTCTCATAATTAATTAATGTCTTAATAAAAAGCTAAGTGTTTCACTAATTGATGAAATAACTTTTGAAAGTCTTTAGACCCTTCACTTTTCACCTCCCTTTCCTGTGTTCAGATTTCAGCTTTAAAATTTTAAAGAGCTCAAGCAAAGTTTATGAAAATGTGAGAAGTACTAGACTTGATAAAAACTTGTTTTATTTATTAAATGTTTCTGTCTCAGATGTATGAGTAAGCCAGCTATTCATTGTTTTGTTTCATCTTCGTTCTCAGATGTTACCAGTGGAACAGTCAAAACAGGAAGAGACGTTGCTACCTCAAGGAAAAACTGTTGAATCTGATGCTGAAAAATCAGATTCTGGTATGGATGAGGAATCATTTCTTCAGTCACAAGGTTAGAACAGTTACAATTTATGATGCCTAATTTCTATTGTTCTTAAAGTTAAAGGCAGTGCCCATTGGAGGATCAGTTCGGTTCTGTTTCTGGCGACTTCAGTACACACTGCAAATAGACCCAAGCCTCAAACTGATCGCCTGACTTGCAGCCTTGAAAACAAATGCATAGAAATAGATTGCTTTTGAAGGTCATTGGTTTAGTTCAGTTTGACAACCAAACTGCACCGATCCTGCCAATGGGTATTGCATATAAGATAAAATGTCATTGTTGTATTACAAAGTTAACCTGATGAATCTGCTCTTCACACTGTTTGAAATTTTTTTTAAAAAAGGTATAATACTTGTACAGGAGTATGTTTGGGTTTCCAAACTGTTGTACTTTGTCATGTTGATATTTTGTTCCTGAAAATCTTAAGGTAGGTCCTCATCTGTTCTTGAGGTTACATTGACAATGGATTCTTTTCTTTTTAATGAACACTGAGGATACCTTTCAAGTTTTATTCTTTTTAGGTTGTATCCTCTTTTTGTTTGTATACGAGAGCGGTTGTTCAGAATTAGAAGCTTTGATTAAAACTGAAGTTGGAAAGACGACAAAATTGTACTAATTTTTCATTTTTAATAGAGCTGTGTGGTTACTTTATTAGGTACTTACTGTCTGTGTAGGCTACATAGCGTTGGTTGTCTAGTGGTTAGGCTATCTTTGAGGTTTGGTCCGACTTTGTGTCCTTGGGAAAGGCACTTTACGGTTTACCTAATTTTCCTATTTGGTTCATTCTCTCCAAAGATGGGTGTTAAATTTAGAGTTCCTTTAGAGTCTCCGTACAGTGTTACAATGGATGTTAAAGCTATTAGATCTATATCGCATTCTTCTTTTGTTTTTAAAACTTAAAAAAACAAAACAAATTTTGCATCACAGGATCAGCAGATTCTGATGAGGAGGTGATCAGCCGCAAAAAGTCGGCTAGAAAAAGCAAGGTATGTTTATATACTTCAATATTTGTCTCTTTCATGTCATAATGACTTGTTTTGGTAAGTTTTGGTTCCATTTTCTTTAAATTTTAAGTTGGGAGAGAATACATTAGAAATTAATTACATCCTGGAGTCTTTTTGTGCTGCAAATTGCATTAGTTTCGGTGTATATTTTACTCTTTTTTTCCTCTGTTTCTTTTTTCTGCATAGGTCTCAGTCTATTTTTTAAAGTTATAAGTCGGTACTTTGGTTGGGTTTTTTTTCTTCTTATGAACTTGGCAATATGATATATACTTATATTATACAAACAAGAGAAGCTGGAAAATGGTGAGCTCATGCTTTTAAAAAAAATAACTAAGGGAATGATTCCTTTTTGGATACTTTTACTTTTAACAAGGCAGGGACTGTTTCTGCCTTTTGACCTTGTATGAAATTACAAAAATACAGTAAAACATGGATAGGTCGAACATTGAAGACTCGAAAAATGAATCCAAGGAGCTGTGCTTGCGGTTCCTTTTTTTTCATCTTTTTTTATATTGGTAAGATATCCCTCAAACTGTCGAGGCCGGTCTTGACGAATTCGAGCTATCCATGCTCTCTAAGTGATTTAAAGTAAAAAGACATTTTTTTTCTTTTGTCTTACTTCATCTCTCTTTATTAACATGGTAAACAAGTACTTACAATACTGTGATCTGATACAGATGATCATTGATGATGAAGATGATGAACCAGAAGTTGGAAAAGAGCTTGATGATGAGGAGGAAACAACAGCACCCAGTGGTCACTCACAGGACGGTCTCCCCTCCCAGGACTCAGAGTCCAAGGATACTTCAGAGGCTGAAGATAACAATACTGAGGAAACCAGCGACTCAATGGGGCTACACTTTAACCTTCAGAATAATGACATTTTTGACGCAGAATCATCTGATGATGATGATGGTTTCCCTGGTGAGACAAAGCAATTTCTGTTTTACTCTCACCCTCTGGATGTTTTGTCTTAGTATCTTTGAAAGTTGGGTTTCTTGTGCAAGATGCTGTTCCAACTGGCAGATGGTTCAAAGTAGTGAAAGGTAGATTGAATGCATTAAAATGATACGGTCTCATGGTTCTAGTTAGTCTTAAGGGTCTTGCTATTTGGTATAACTTTGTAAGTTTATATTGACTTTGGCTGCTCACTTTTTAAACTAAATTTTAGTTTCACACATTTGGTGCCTAATTCATTCAGCAGTTGCCAACATTACTGAGTTATGTTATGTGAAGGGTTTGAAAAATTTGAAAGACTTTAGTTTGGGCATTTGGTTTAAATCAGTTGACATGAGAGATTTATATCTATTGAGTTACTCATGAGAGGTCCTCTACAAACATTTAAGATTATGTTATCAGGATTTAATCCTATAAGTGAAGATAATAAATACCCGTGGGGCTCCCGGGGCCCTGTCTAAGAGGGGAGCAAAGAAAAGGACCTCTGTATCTGTACCATGCATGTTGTAGAAGGCGATTAAGCTCAGTTGGGCAAAGGGTTAGCAGCCCTTTCCCATTAAACAAAAAAAACCCAGCTTTCTTGCACTCTGTTTCCATTCATTGATCATAACCTTTGTTGTTGTTTTTTTTCATGTCGTCTTTACCAGGGCCAGCTGAGAAAGCAAAGTCTGGTTCCAGTCAACAGGAAGAAGAAGAAGAAGATGCAGATAATGGGGCTTCAGATGAGGAAGAGCCAGAAAACAGTGGAGATGAAGGTTTTGATGAGAGTCAAGTGGATCCTGAACTTCTTAAAAAGTTAAAGAAAATGAAGGTAATTTTGTGTGGTCCACCTTAGTAATGCCTCAGTGTTTTTTTCTCTTAAGTCCATAAAATCAAAAACCCCAAGCTATTAGAAAAATATTGTATTGTGGCAACGGAAAATGTTTCATTCTAATGCAAAGACACTTAGCGCAGTATATTTCTGGGGTCTTTCTCCCTCAGTTAATTTTCTGTGGCTCACAGTCAATGACAAAATCAATGCTTTGTTAATATCACATGTTTGAAGTTGCCATTGTATTTTAGAATGAAATGGGATCAATCCCACTTATAGATATGGGTTACAAGGTGCAGTGGATATAAAAAAGACTTTCGGGCAATGTGTTCTTTAGATTCCCATGATACATCATCCAGTCATGTAAAGTCGATCAAGTCCACTTTATGCTTATCTTTCTTAAAATGATGGAGAACTTTGTGACCACACTTTACCTCTATGTGTTTATTTCTTTTCTAATTTAGGGAGCAGGAAAATCCGAAAAGCAAAGAGAAAAGCACAGCAGAAAAGCGAAACCAACTGCTGAGAAAATGCTTGAAATTTTCAGTGAATCGCAAAGACTTCTCAGAGGTAACTGATATTACTGTCATTGTATGCAGCATTGTTTTTATTCTTGAAGTTGTGCTGTGTTCTAATATATTTCAAATTTATTATATTTTAATGTTATTGCTAAAATGACTATTCCTTTCTGACTTACTGTGCTTGGCGAGTGCTCTGGTGTGGTTTGCTCCTTTTTCCTGTCAAAAATCTATCGTCTCCTTTTCCCCTCCTTTTTTGTGTTTGTTACTTTCTTGTAACACCTCTAATCTTTGGCACCTATATGACCATATTGTGTTGCAAGTGCCGTAAAACTTACTAAAACGAACAAAATTTCTTACTTAAGGGCAAGTTCAATATTTAACGCCTTCATGCATTTGCTAAAGAATCTTGTAACAATTAGCTCACCCCTGACGACTTTTCACTTTCATTGTGGTGGAATGATGCTTGAATTTGTAATTAAACTTTTTTTTTCTATCTACCAGACAGCAGGGTAAATCTTCCCTATTATGAGCCTCAAGCCAAGTCCCTTGATGATTTCCTAGCTCGAGCTTCTAAGAAGAAACAGGAGTATGCAGCACTGAGAAGGCCAAAAGACTTTCTGTAAGTTGCCGGGGTTGTTGTTTTTAAAAATTTATTACTTGAACTGTATCGACATAATATTTTTGGAATCGCTGTACTGTTTAGACAGCTGTTGTTGATCTTAAAAATTTGGTTTACTGCTCTGTTGTTCGTTATGTTGTGCTTGTCTACTTTATGTAGAAATGAATTCACTTTAAGGAAGGAGAGAACTAGACGCTTTTGTCACATTGCTCCTCTTACTTGCATTTTGCTCATGTTTAGTTGTAGATTGCTTTCTTTGTCAGGAAGAAAAAGTAGATCAAATTCACAATTGCAAATTATGTGTTAGATGAATTCTCAAGGTGCTTTAGCAAATCAAGATAGCATTTCCAGAGAATATGCTTGTTTATTATCATTCATAACTTTACTCTTTTAATACCAAATGAATTTGTCAGAAATGGTTTCCCCATCCTGAGTAAATTTTGGAACTTAAAACTAAAATTTGTATGCTACAATATGGGCTTATCAGTCAAATTTGTCGCTATAAAATTATATGCGACTTTTTCAGTCTGTCTCTTATCTGTTTCTTCTGAGTTTCTCTCAGGGCCATTTTAATATTCATCTACTATGACCGTGTGCATGATCATACTCTCTTTTACCATCAATGGGCCCTGTCTTAAGTCTAGATCTATCTCCTGTACAGTGTGCCTTTGTGGAGGCACTTTACTGTACAGAAAGAAAACAATTCTAACTTTCAATCGACAGCTTCGTTATCTCTATCCTTATCCGTATAAGCCCTTTTCGTACCTCTTAGCTGCATAGGTTTGCTTTACTCTCATTTGTGCCATTCAAACCAACTGACCTAATTTCAAATGAATGCTGAAATGATTTGACTAAAGTGTTTGGTTATTTAAGAGTAGGGCCTACTCTCGTTGTTTTTTCAAAAAGGAAGCCACTCTGAAATTTTAAAGAAAAAATGTTGTGTTCCGCTCTAATTTGGAATAGCAGCTATAGTCTTTCCATTTCGTATTTTTTGTCTACGTTCAGGAAAGCACAGATTATTCATGAGAAGCTGTCAATAACGCCTCCAAAGCTGGAACAACTGCCAAAGAAACAGAAGAAAAGTTCTCGAGGTCCCGAACTCAAAGAGTCAACGGAAACTTGTACGTCCTCAAACGAGACACAGGTTTTGTCTTGTGATGATTCCGGTGTCAATTCACAAGAACTCTTGCAGCCCAGTACTCTTGAACTTGAGTTGGACACTCAGGCTCTGCCCTCCCAAGCTCCAGCTAATGAGACTTCCTGTGATGAAGATGATCAATTACCTGACCTTGTTCCTTCTCATAGATCAGACATATCTCAACTACTTTCTGACAATACCAAGAATTCTTTGTTCAGTGAAAATGACAAACGAGACTGTTCTGAAGATATTTCAGGGCCTAAAGATTCTCTTTCTTTGCAAAACGAACCTTGTGATTCCATGTTAAAGGTTGGTTCTGATGTTTCTAGTAGTGCACAGTGTGAACCTAAAGATAGAGATCTACTTTTCTCTGTGTCGTCCTTATCCAAAGATCCATCTAGAGATTTGTTCAGATCTCAGAGCTCAGTTGGGGAAATGAGTGGCCAGCACCAGCTTGCAGGAAGTGCAGACGACTTTTGTGAAACGACTGTCACCAGAGGCAAACACTGTACAGAAGAGCCACTCGAAGATCAGGACCATGGACAGACAATGGTCAAAGAGTCACTTGATCAACAAAATTATGGACAGACTGAAGCCTCCAGTCCTTCACAAACGGCAGAAGCATTGGCAGATAACACCTCACAGCCTAGGAAACGTTTGTTTGACAAATTTCAAGGTCTGGCACTGCCTGCCTCTCCGTGTCTGAAAGGCACACCAGATGAGGTGATCTGTCTGGATGAGCCATCTCCACAAGCCACCCCCAAGAACACTGGCCTGCAGAAGTTGCTGGATAGATTAGCACAGCACTCAAAGAAAAGAACACCAAGGCCAGCGAAAGACGTGAATATCAGGTGAGTCATTTATAATCTTTTTCCACTAATTGTCCTGGTGAATTACTGCCATGACTTAGAGTCATCAAGACTTGACTTTACCCACGGCTTTTCCTGTCCTGAGACCAAAGCTCAGCTTGTTTCTCTTGGCTTGAAATAATTCTCCTTCATTGTTTTGCAAATATTCTTCATTACTAACTAAATATCAATGGTTATATTTGCGGCAGTCTATTGAAGTAAAAAATATTTTTTGGGACGGGGAGGGGCTGCTGTTGTCTTAAGTTTTGTTTTAGTCATCTGGGTTTTTTTACGTTTGTAATTCTGTGGCAACTTCATGGTCCTAAAAGTGCTAAAAGAAAATTTACTCGGTTTTATCTATCCTTGAACTTGAACCAGACCATCAAGTCCATGTTATCTTTATATTTCTTAATTAATGGTGGAGAACTTTGTGATCACACTTTCATGGATGTGAATTGTGAGAAAAAATTTTTTTTACGTGAATGAATGTTGCTGACCACTGTTGTGAGTTGTCTTTGTCTTGGGGCTCTGTTATTTAGGTAGGTAGGTATTCTATACAGTGTTTATGGCCACACTACATCACATAAAGCATGCGCATTTAACAGAAACTTCAGTTAAACAACATACACATATGACTGACACACATAGCAACATAAAAAAAGTTTGTGTTGTTAAACAGTTTCCATGATTGAAGGATTGGGGAGGGATGGCGGGGGAGCTGTTGAGGTCTTCCTTGTGTGGGTGGTTTCTGGGTGCTTTTGTGTGATCTTGTCCTTGTTATTAAGGTATCTTTTCTGAATGTGTGGCCAGCTGTCAAGCCAACTCACTGAAAATAGCAGCTCAGTATAAACATTCGCTGTGTCTTGTGCTCTTCCTTCTCTCTCCCCCCGCTCCATCATCTTCATGGTGACCCATGGGGGGGGGGGGGGTGATGTCACTCTCAAGATACATTTTAACTTCTTTTATTTTCATTGACAGCATTGTGGAAAAGGAAGGAGAAGCTGGTGAAAAGAAAGAACTGAAGCTCAAATCTTTCACCTATCATGTTCAAGAAGAGGAGTCAGTGCTAGATGAAAGTGGAACAGGTACCATGTTACTCAAGTTTGTCTCTCACACAAACACACATCAGCACACACACACACACACAAACTCGCTCACTTGAGGAGAGAAGAGAACAATTTAAGTTCTTTTTGCAAAATGCTCTGATGTTTAGTGATCTGTTGTTTCATGACCACAATTGGCGTTCAGTTTTCTATTTGCATTTGTGTACAGGATTATGTGGCTATTGGAGCGTCCTAATTTTACAGGTGTAGTGCCTTAGTTCTATCTCACAAAGTTGGTGTAATTTTGAACAAGTGAATTTTTTACCCAAAACTACTACTTGACTTTTGTCATTTTGAAGATTTTAGATGGCTTGTGCTCACTTTCGTTGCCATGTCAGTGTGAAGAGGACAACAGCGATACTACAGATGTTGTCTAGAGACACATTTTGTGACATGCCTGAAAATAAGGATTGTCGTTTTGTAATCAGTACAGTATAGTCAAAATTGTCTAAGATAGCCACCCATTGTTGGGAATGAAATCTGCTGTCTTAGACAGATGGGTGATCTTGGACAGTGTCATGAATATTTTAAAAAAATAATAATAGCGAAGTGGTTGTTTTTACAGGTGATGGTCTTGGGCAGGTAGCCTTCTGATCGGGTTCAATTGTAATTCATGTGGCCACATTGGGGTAATCTGCCGTGGTTGTTGACTGGGCATATGCTCACATTTGTGTAACTACTTTATATCAGTCCAATCCTCTCTGTGACATACTGATTGTTTTAGCTAATGAGAACCACAGTTCTAAATGTAACCATGGCCTTACAATGTGAAGATAGTTCTCTCCTGGCTATGCTTGACACTTCAGCTCTATAGTATAGTCTTTCTTTTAGGCTCTTGAAATTCTTGGTAGAGAACTTTTTGTTTGTTTTCTTCCCCAGGTTCAAAATTGTCGTTGCTGAAAAGACAACTTGGTCAGGGTATGAGGAAGAAGCGGGCTGAGGCCCTGCACAAAAGGCAGCAGCTCTATGCCCTGGAGAATGAAGAAGGTTTTGAGAAAGCGAAGGATGACAATGAATTCGATGAGGAAGAAGAAGAAGCTGAAATGACAGACGGGTCAGATACAGATGGAGAGAGTGAAGAGGATGACCTTGAGCTTCAGTTTGGGCACATGAATGAGGATTCCGATGATGGAAAAGATGTAGGTTTCTTTGTATTACTTTTGGTGGGGATTCTATATGTATTTTGATTTTTTCATTGTTCATTGTAATAATTTTTGTTCAGTTGTCAGTGACTGCTTTTTAACACCATTTAGTGTGTTCAAAGATCTTTACGACTTAGCTTCTTTTCTGTGACTCATGTCACCATGTGCCCTACATGTACTTTATTAAGAATAGAACAGAAAGCAGAGTGAGTAAAAGATTACTTGAGAGGCGCCCCCACTCCCATTCTGTAAATGAAATAGAAGTATCTGTAATGCATGTTGTTATGGCAAGCTATATGTGGCTGTACGTAGATTGCAGACCCTGAATATACGTCGTAGGTAGTTCTGAGTGGAGGGCTCAAGTAGACTTTTACTGGAAAGCACCATCATCATCATCATCCAGTGCCAGATCTGCGACAGACATCGGCGATCATGATTTTCCATTCATTCCTTTGCTCGGATGCTCTCAGAAAAGCTATGTTTCCCTGATCTTTCCCTGTTACCCATTTGTTTAGGTTCCCTGAGTATGTTGTTCTGGGCCTACCCCTGCCTCGCTTGCCCTCAATTTTGCCAGTGAGAGCTAGATGTTCAAGACCCTTATGTCTATTCAGGTGTCCCAAAAACTGCATTTGTCGTTTCCTGATTGTTTTTAACATTGAGCGTCCCACGTGGGCTTTATCAAGCACTACCTCATTTGATTTCTTTTCCTTCCACGATACTCTTAGCAGTCTCCAAAGAAACCACATTTCTGTTGCTTCTATTTTATTTTCACTGTCTTTAGTGATTGTCCAGCATTCAGAGCCATATAGAAAGCACCATATATTATATTTAAACATGACATGGCTGGGCTGAGATTATATCTTGTTTTCTAAATTCAAACCAGTCAATGAACTAAAATTGTTGTAAATAGTTATCTTTTCCTTTGAAAAATCTTACTTTTTCAATGCTTATGTGAAAAGATCTTAAGTCTGTGGAAGAAAAAAAGTGCCAATATACAGAACATTTTTTTTCTGCAGTATAACCCTCTCCTGGATACAGAAGCAAAGGATGATGAGGATGAAGCTGAGTATGCTAGCAACTTTGACGAAGACTCAAATGATGTGCACCTGCGTCTTGATATGTCGGATGAAGAAGCCGAGGATGAACCAGAGGAGGAGGATGACAAGAGCGGATCAGAGGAAGAGAACAGAGACAGTGACGTTGATGGTATAACTTCAGTAGAAGCATTGGTCTTTGATTTTTGTGTGATCTTGAAAATCTGTCCTGATTTTTTTGTTAGGGGGAGGGGGGGGGGGTGCAATTTTATTTTAGCAATCTTTTCTGGCATTAGTGCATGTGTATTCTTTCGGTAGGATTGAATGGGTACCTTTGGAAAGTCTTACTATTCTGCTGTCATTATACCATCACCCTTACGTTTATGTTAATGTTTGTTTTGATTTTTGTGGGTGCACTGATAAACAAATATTGAATTCTTTTCTCATTGACAAAAGTGTGTTCTTTTGCTGAGTGAAAAAGTAAGTCTCTTAAAATTGTTTTTGTGAATGAGATACTTGCAAACTACAAATGTGACAGTGGGTTGTTGGCGGGTGCTCTTGTGTGGTTTGCTCCTTCTTTCCTATCATCTATCGTCTTTATCTCCCCTCCTTCTTTTTTATGTTTGTTACTCCCTTATAACACCTCTAATCTTCTGGCGCTCATATGACCTTTTGCAGTTGCGAGTTCCGTAAAAACTCTACTAAAACTAAAAAACAAGTGTGACATGTGCTCCTGTCCTTCTATTTTGTTCATAAGACTTTGGTTTGATGAGCCAGAAGAAAAAGAAAACGAAGCATGCCCTGATAGCGAGTGATGATGAGGATGAGACTGAGGATAAATCTTGTGAAGATGAGACAACTACCAGTGATCTGAACAAAGTCAAAGGTAAGTCTCTGTCCAGGCACTTGAATAGATTGTAGAAAAATACTATTACTGTTGGGGTTTTTGGTCTTTTTTTCCTCTTTCTTCCTCTCCTAAACATTTTGCTGACTCTTTGTAGTCTTTGCTAGTCCTTCTCACAATGTGCTTGTCATATTTAAGTTTTCATCTAATGGCATTAGAAATCTGTTGTACTACTCCCGTCAGGTCTGACATTCTTCTTTTCTACTGAAACATTTATGATCTTTTTATAGTACTGATAGCTCATTTATTATGTAACTTGCATGGTTTAAACTTGATCTTGGTTTTAATTTATTATTGACAAATACTTTATCTTCTCTTTGGCAAGGACAGTCAAGCCTCTAATTTTTTAAGTTTTTGAGTTACATAGTTTGATTTAAAGTTTATTTCCCATAGTAAATTACAAACTACTGGATTGTGATAGTTTCTTTAAAAAATATTTCTTTCATATGTCCCCAATGGGAAATTTAAATTCGCAAGTGCAAGTTCAATAGTAACATAAAATATTGCACTGTATCATATCAATACAGATTCACTATTGCTGGTATCAGTGTACAACACCCTGTTTTAAAGCTAGGGTCATCGTGTCTTTTTCAAGGACACCCCACTGACAACACGCCTCCTAAAAACTGCATTCCTGATTATTATTTTTCCCTTATTTGTGAACCTGAGCTCACCTACCACTCAACCACTGGAGTCTTCTGAATACAGTGACGTATGATGCGTAAGATCTGTCTTTGGTCTTGGATTCTTCTGATTTGTTGGTAGTTGACCATGTGACTTTTATTTTTTAGATGTGCCGCTGTTTCCTGACTTGTGGAGTGATGAGCTCAGCCCAATGACCAAACACCTTCAAGACACACAGACTCAGGTGTGTTGGCTTCTTACTTTACCTCACCTTTCTGCTTTACTCATGCTGTAAAGTGTGCAATAGGAAGGCTTTACGTCTTAGGAAGGGAAAAAATTCAGAATGAACATGGAACAGCTTTCCTCATGGTTGCAGTATATGACATTTTTATGAATGATTTTTGCTCTGCGATATTTGGCCATGATGTGTTTGTGTGTCTGAGTTGGTCAATTTGTGTCCTTAGTGTGAATAATATGCTTTTTAAAAAAAATTCTATACCTTTGTATATGCTATTGGAAGACAAATATTACGAGAAAAAAGTCTTACTAAGAAGACAGTTTTGAAGAATGTCTTGCTCTTTGTGATGGAGGTTTTAAGGTCTTGCCAGGAATCCTGATATGATAACAGGTCTGGCTTTCACTGATGGAGGTTTGAGTATCTGACAAGGACAAATTTCAGTCTCATGACTTTTACTTGATGATTGTTTAGCTCTTTAAACCATGTTTATAACTTCTTTGTGATGTCCGATTTCAAGTTGAAAAGTACTGACAACTTTATTATCACAAGATGTTTTAATTTTTGTTATTTCTCTATCTCAGGAGAGGAGAAAGTACCGGTCAGATTCCCGTTCCCCAGACCTGTACAGCATGGCAGATGAGAGTGAGTCTCCCTCTGGGCAGAATTTTGATCACCTGAACGATTCTTCACAGTCAATCGGATCTTACAACCCTCACTCTCAATTTTTAGATGCCGACGGGTAAGGACTTTAAATTAGAGCTTTCTAGTGGGTGCTCAAAGCTGATATGTAATTATTGGATGATGTCAGTCTGTTTGAATTGAATTCATGTGATACAAGATATATGTGAGTTGCTTTGATGGAATTGTGATTTTTATCCTATGAATAGTTTTTAGTTCACAATTGAAATGTTGACCGTGGAGTGGACACAGTAGATTTTTATTTTTAAGTTTTCCTGATTTCGTCATCTGTTAAAATTTTAGGATGAGGTTGTGTATTGGAATGAGCTTTAATTTCATAGAGATTTGTATGTAAGACATGTCTCTCTGATTTTTCTTATAATGGAAGAAACTATGTGACGAAGGTGATTACAGAAATGACACTGCTTGTCTGATTTGCTTCAGGTACATCAAAGTGGCTCAAACTCAGAAGCCAAGGTCACGAATAGCTCAGTTAGCACAAAACAGTGGTGGAGATGGCTCGGCCTTTGGTAAGCTTATTGATTTTAGTCTGTTATGCAATTCTGAATGTACTTTTCAATTGTTTCAAGGGTTGGTGCTATTGTTCTTTAACATGTCAGATTCTTGTAAGTTACGAGGAACTCTTGTAAGTGGAGCCGTGAAAAGTTTGTTTAGAAGTTTGAATATATATACTGAGGTGCAAAAGAAACGCGAATTTTTAATACAACACAATGATTGACAAAATGCAACACATAGGTTTCAAGTTATTTGTTGTGTTTATTAGCTGAAACTTTGCACACTTCTTGAGAGACATAGCTGACATGAACTGAGGGTCCAACACATTCATCTGAGCTCACGTTGACCTTGGCCTTGGTGAGCAAACTTAGTAACGCGTATGGCCTTCACGTGCAGCGATTATAGCGAGGCATCTTCTGTTCATAAAGTTAATCAAACGGTTGATCTGGCCATTTTGGATGCCATCAAAGATCTGGATGAAGGCTGCAGTCAACTGGGCTGCTGTTCGAGGCCGTGGCTGCGTCTGGTTAAGCTGTCTTTGGATCATGTCCCACAAATGTTCAATAGGGTTCAAGTCAGGTGAGCGAGGTGGGTGTGCCAATAAATTGACATTGTTCTGCGCGAAGAAGTTCTGGGTAGCACGTGCGATATGTGGGCGTGCGTTGTCTTGTTGATACAGGAAGTTAGGATGCCTCTGTACAAAGGGCACCACATGAGATGCCAAGACTTGTACAATGTAGTGCTGAGCTGTGACGCCGTTTCCACTTCCTGGACCAATGTTCTGGAAGATGACAGGTCCCACTCCATGATTCAACGCCATGGCTCCCCATATCATCACGTTCTCGCCTACCCAGGGGTCACGCTCCAGAATGTTGTTGTCGTCATAGCGAGTCGTGTCTCTACGCCACCCGTTCGCTGGATCAACGCAGAACCTGCTTTCATCACTGAAGAGGACTCTCCTCCACTGTGCGTTCTGCCAGTTGACATGCGCCTGTGCCCACTGTATCCGTTGCTGTGGATGCCTTAGTGTTAGGACAGGTCCCTGGTAAGGACGCCTGCAGTGAAGACCAGCAGTCAGTAACCTCCGTGACACATTCCAGGGCTAAGTTGGCTTTCAGTCGTTCCCATGGTCGTTCTGGCAGTCTCTGCAGCCGGCAGAAACGGATCACAGCGGTGCCGACGAATCATGACACAGTCATGGGCCGGAGTTGTCCCCCTTGATCTTCCGCTTCGTGGTCGATCTGCTGTTGTCGCTGTCGCTTGTAATCGGTTCCGAAGGTTAGAATCTAATAAATGGTGCTTGGGTGGACACCAAAAACCTGGGACACCTGTTCCACCGACTCACCGGCCGCCAGTCGCCCGACAGCTCTTTCTCTGTTTTCCCTTGATAACCTTGGCATGTCTGTAGTTCGTCTGTTTCGATATGAATGCAACATTTCGAGGCGCAGATTTTATAGGCATACACCCAGGACTGAGTGAGCATAAACTCACCACTGACAACAAGTTGCAAATGTGTCCCAGTGGTGATTGATGACTCGTGAGTTGTGTATTGCTTACGCAGCCAATGATATCTTTGCGATGCTCAAAAATGCCCAATCAAGACGCTCAAGGCAAGTGTTGAGTGATACGAGTTCACATCACACAACTATGAACTCAGCATTGGGCGATTACAACAACATAAAAAATTCGCGTTTTTTTTTTTGCACCTCACTATATATGTATAAAACCTGTTTTCTGGCAAATGTTGTGGCGTTTTTCTCATTTCTGTCATTACTTCTTAGCAAGCATGGGTCTCTCTTTGTTGTTGACAATTCATTCATGGTGCCATACTTTTGATGCAGTTACCACATTCCTTTTAGGATGTTAGCGCTTGTAAATTAAAAAAAATTTTTTCCAGGTTTAAGTTTTATGTTGCATCTGATAGGGATTCCAGTACCTTTATTTCAATCATATTGTGTTGGCAAAACTTTGAGAGGTATTTGAAATGATTGTCATGTCTCCCATTTGAGTAAGTTTTTGTGTCGAACCTGATAAGATGAAGTGGTCAGTACACTTGCTGTTGACATTCAGATCAAATATTATCATGTTTACAGCTTTGGAGTAATGTAATTTTACTTCCATCCATTGCTGTTCAGGATGCCTTGTTTAAACTAACAGCTTCCTGGTCTGACTGTTGCAGGTTCCAGCTTCCCGATGACTGCTGGTGCTTTGTTCAAGGGTAGCCAAGCTGGCGCTGATGAAATTTCTGCCACAGCAATATTTCAGGGATCAGGCAGTCAGGTTGATGGTGGGGAAATTACAGCCTCTGCCTTATTCCGAGGATCTGCCAGTCAAGAGCAGCCGGACGCAAACATGCAAGAACTTATGGGCCTCTGCTCTGGGACTTTTGGGTCAGTTATATTTACAACGGAAAGTTGATCAATTTTTAAAACTCCAGTACTCGGTGTAACTTGATCATTGCAGTATGACATAACGCTAACATGGGTACTCTTGTCTAATTTTTATAGTACAAAAATGCATCATAAATACACTGGCATAATTTACTTTTTTTGGCTTGCCATACTATGCTGTTTTCATTCATATAAATGAACGGAGGTTCTAAATGTCCAATCACAATAGCAGTGTGTGATGACATGAGATAGCGTGCCTGTCAACACAGTGTTAAATGAAAAATTTGTCACTTTAATGTCGAGCAGGAGGGAAACACTAGCTAGAAGTTATGAAGCCTTTGAAAAAAATGTTTTACTTCATTTGTGCTGTAAAGTTCAATAAAATTATATGTATTAGATTATTTTTATGACCAAGTCCTGAGCTCACTTCAAATACATCTTTCAAAGTTTTTTACTTCCATGTCGGCAAGCCAGATGATTTGACCTTGTGAGGTATGTGACATGATGATGTAAAGTAATATAAAGATGTCCTCATTTTATTTCAGACAAGATTCTCTGAGTGAGGATGCTTTCCCAGTGTCTCAAAATAGGAGAGATCATACTCCAGGCTTTAACACCAGTGAGAAAAAAGTTGACAAGGACACAGATGATCCGTTTGACATTCTCTCTGATCTTGAAGAGGAGGAGGATACTACACAGCAGAAATGGAAAAAGGTAGCTCTATTGTCTCTGAAGAGAAATTAGCTCCGTGCACAAATAGTCGGGGCAGTATGAAAAAATGCTCATGTAGTGTGGGGGTGCTCTTTCTGAAGGGTTGGATCAGTTGTTGTTTTTTACTATCCAGTACTGGAACTCCCGGTACTACGGTAGTCGATCACAGTTCCTACACCAAGCTTCCAATTCTCTTTCGATTGGGAATTGCAATACTTTACATTGACTGTTCTGTGTTTAGAATCTTTGATGTCTTTCACAGCATAAAACATTGGGTGACTTTGATATATGACTTTTAATTGACTTATAACTGGCATTTAATAAATGAAATTATGTTTGCTAAAGTTTAAATATTGAATTAAATTTGTTTTCTCGCAAGCCACTTTGCTTTTATTTTGATACACTGATTCCGAAAAGGAAACCGCGTTTTAGTTGTGAAAGTTCTTTTTAAAAAGTGTTGCTCGCAAAGTTTGATCTGACCTAGATTGTGTTTGACAGCTTTGCTGCCCTTGTCATTTCTCCTCCACACCCCCCCCCCCTCCCCACCACACACACACACACACACACACAGAGAAACTAAAAAGAGAAAAATCACCAATGCACAGTGCAACTGATGAATATGAGACAGGAGGCAAGAATCAAGGCCTGAAGAGCCTCTGACATCATCTATTTCCAGTACCAGTACCGGTGGTACTCAGCGCCCAGTCTCAGAAAAAGTTCTGTCGCTAAGTTTCAATGGTACTGCCCTGTGCTATTGTTCAGGGAGTTTTTAAGACACTTGGTTCAATCTTCTCAGAGATGGATGTGACATTGGAGGTCTGGCCTCTTTTATAACCCTATTATTGATCAAATGGGCTTTATTCTCTGCTTTTCTTCTATTCCCAGCGTGTCCTCTCTGACACTGAGGATGAGGCCGGTGATGAGGAGGAGGATGAGGCTGCCTCAGATACGGAGGATGTTGTCTCGGAAGCTAAATTTACTGGATTCAAGAACAAGAAGAAAGGGTGAAAAATTAGTCAAGTCTATGTTGTTGTTTTTCTGTAAACTTTTTTTCAATTAATTTTTTTTGTGGGGGGGGGGGGGGGGGGGGTAATTTAAGTGAACTCACCATCTATGTATGTACATTTAAAAAAAAATTTTTCGCTTCACTCGGCTGTGTATTTGCTCAAATTATGTTCTAAGCAGAACATGGTTAAGGAATTATTTTTTTTTTACAATAGCTATGGTCTTAGGGCTGAAAAGTAAAATGAATATTAAAATTTTTGGATTCAGTTTACATAAGATTTTTCTTATATTGGCCTGTGACACAATGGAACTCCTAAATCGGGGAGGGGGGGGTAAGTGATTTATACGTTAGCTTAGATATAGGGCCCTAGTGAATGTCTTTACCCTACAGGACCAGCGCACAGAAACATTGTAAAAGGTGAAAAATTGTGACAGTCATAAGCCCTTTGCTATTCTATAAAGAGAACGAACATTTGTTAAAAATTTTGAATTTTGAGTCAAAAACATTCTTCTACTTCCCAAAAAGATACCTTAAATGTTTGTAGCATTTGAAATTTTGAATTTGTATTTATTTTTATGCTGTGGAAAGTCTTTACTTTGTAACAGATATAGATATAAAATCCTAAAAAGGCATTTCTTCTAGAGATAAAGTACTCTCTGTTGACATTTTGCGAATTGTTGTTGGTTCAGCTTATAATAATATTTATTGCTCGTCTGTCAACAGCATCCGGAGAGAGTTTGTGGAAGAGGAGGCTGAGCTATCAGGTACAGAAACTAGGATTTTTTTTCAATGAGCATCAACTACACATGTGTTACGTAGCGATTTGTGTCATGACGTGGTGGAATCAGGCTCTCGTCAATTTTTGGGCTAGTAGAATTATTGGTATCATCTTAAAGCCTGTTCATTTGTTTTGCTTTGGATGAAAAAAAATGTCCATTTATCTTGAACACAAGTCGAGATATTTGCGAATAAAGGAAGTGGTGGTCACCTGGTTTCAGAGGTAAACTTAGCGAGAAAATGGTCGCCAAAGATTAGTTATTCTTAGCTTGAGAGTCCGTGGAAACAGAAAATCTACATTTTGTGCCTTTAATCAACATATTTCAGTAAAATTTATACAGAAATGTGTTCTTTAATGGACATGAAAGGCGTTGAGACGAAAAACGAAAATTGGATAAAAATTCACAAACCTGTGGAAAAATGCCAGTTTCTTCACTTTGATTATTTTGACGAGAGCCTGATTTCACCACGCTGCCTCACACTAGTTCGTATAAACTTCTCTGATTTTCCACAATTTTGTTTGACACATTGAGAAAGATTTGTGATCTTCATATGGTTTCGTTTACTTCAGATAAGAATGTTGCACTGGATATCTTGTGTTTCCCAAGTATTGCAATATATCATGTCGGTAAAAGAAAATAATATTTAATTAATATATTAGGTAATTTATGCACTTTCTTCTCAGTTTAATGTCGTGTGAGTGAATTATGAATATCAACTTAGCACATACTCATGTCCCAAGACATCAGTGGTTCTCCTCTTCTGAGTCAGTCATCTCTCAAGTACCTTTCTTGGTGTGTGGTCAGAGGAAATGATGGATCCCTTTTTAATAGCCCTCTCAAAAACTTAGATTTTTTTATGTTTTCTCATTCCCAAACGTTCTAAGGAACATCTGTTTTTGCATATGTTGTTCACAAAAGAGAATGTAGGCCGCTGACCTTTGAAAGGACGCAACATGGCCCACTTTTTTTTTTTTTTTTTTTTACTACACAATTTTCAGTGGGCCCTTTTTGTTCTTTGTCTGTGGTCAAATCACACTTTGTCCCCTTTCTCTTGCTTTTCCCTTATATCACATCTTGACTTTCAATATTAACATCTGTATCAAGACCCATTGGTGGTCCCTCATGTAATGTCCTTTAAAAAACTTACCAGGTAGTGAATACGACAGTGATGAGAATGATGACCTTGCGGAGGAGGACGACATTCTAGAGGAAGAGGCTGGAGACAGAGACATGGCTGGTGTGTCTGAGGAGGCCCTCAGAAATCAAGTTGGCAGAGTGCACATGTGAGTGGATGTCTGTCTATAGGTGTAGGTCTTAGCATGTGTGTCTTTTTGGTGAGTGCATGTCTGTCTTTGTGTGTGTTTGTCTTGGTCTGTCTGAGTGCAAATTCAACTGAGCATAATTGTGTCTTGGGTGTGCCTGCAAATGAGGACTGGTGGAAAATTGCCTAAGCTGAGATCATATCTCCACAAAATTGCGCCAGCAGACTCTCCAGATCCGTCCTGTCGAGCCTGCAAGGAGGAGGAGGAGACTATGGACCACGTGTTCCTGAAATGTCCACACGTCTGCTGGGACATTTCAGTGACCCACTCTCAGCACTTTTTTAAGGACTCCCGAACAAGTTTTGAGTTCCTGTGTGCTATCGGCTTCGCTGATGGTTTATGATGCCACAGTGCCAGAAGAGAGAGGGAATGTGTGTGCCTGTCTGAGAATGTGCATACTTATGTTGATTAAACTTTTTCAAAATTTCTGTAATGGTTCTCAGCATTCTGTGAAATATGATTGAAGAGTTCCATTAAAAGGTTGAACATCTTTCCTTGCGGGTATAGGAGGGTACTGTACGACAGATAGGTGCTACTTCTTTTCTTTCTCTCATTTGCTTCTGTTTGTCTTGCTTTTTCTTTGCTTTAAATGACCGTTATTGTGACAGTGTACTTCTCATAACTCATATACAATCATCTTTTCTGTAGTCTGCTGTTGTGTAAATTTTTCGATTTATGTTGTAGCAATTTTTTATTTTATACTTGTTCTACAATAGAATTCATTATAATTGTATTTAGAGTGCATTTGTTTGCATTATACTTTAACAGGCCTTCCAACTGTCCCAAATTTCACGCAACTGTCCCAGATTCAACAATCTGAAAATTTGAGAGCCTGATCGCTTATACTACATCAAAACCAGCCCCACTTGATGTAGTTTTATTCATTGTCAAGTAATTTGATGTTATATCATTTGGTGTCCCTGACTGGGTTTTGAAAAAGTTGGCGCGCCTGATTTTGACACTAATAAATGGTAATGGGTGGAATAGAAAGCAAAACTTCAAATTTGTTAGTTATTTGTTTGGGAACTTGTTTCCTGAACTTCTAATGAATTTTTAAATATTATTTTAAAAAATAATATTGACGTTAACTATTTTCGTATGCAGGAAACGGCTTCAGGATGATGATGACCGAGAAGTGATGCGGTTTAAAGAGATGTACTTACAAGATGGTGACTTGTACTCAGAAGGCGGAGGAAGAATGAGGAATTTTAGATGGAAAGATATGGGTATGATTGCTTTCTTTATCAGAGGAAAAGATATGGGCTTATACTTTTTTTTAACGCCATATACAAATTATTTACAATGGTAATAATGTGATGCGTAGAGATCTGTTTTATGTTCTTGTCTGCCATTATGAAGTGAAATAATATAAACTTGCTTCTTTTGCATCTGCAGTTATTTGAATTGTTTTGATCATCATCATCATCATCATCATTGCCTTTCTCACCCTGCACCAGGGTATAGGCCATGGACAAACACCTTCCACCTTTCTCTATCCTGGGATAGCCTCTTGATGTTATTCCATGTCTTCCCACTTTTCTGTGCATTGATTTCTGTGATTCTTCTCCAGGTTCCACGTGGTGTTCCCCTTGATCTCTTACCCTGTGGGTTCCAATCCAAAACTTTCTTTGTTATGCAGTTGCCTGACTTCCTAAGATTATGTCCAGTCCATCGCCACCGCCTTCTTCCTACCTCATCTCTGACTGGGATCTGTCTTGTTTTCCTTAATACTTCCCCATTGGTGACACTGTCTGTCCATGTGATCCTTAGTAACTTTCTTAGACACCTGTTCAAGAAAACCTGGATCCTCTTTATGCAAGTCTGTGATGCGTTCCATGTCTCACATCCATACAACAGGACCGACTTCACATTTGAATTGAAAATCCTCAGCTTTGTTCGAAGTGAGATATCTCAACTGTTTTGATGGAGAGTATAAAACTTTCCCCTCTATCATTTCTTTCCAAGTAGATGACGCTATGAGCGGTGCGGACATTTGACAGTTCATTTTATAAGTGAGATGTTGCTGCAGTTATGTATTATTATTCAGTTTTACACACTGTAGTCCTTTATAACATGTTTATTGTGCTGTTGGCAGCTCTAATTCTCTCACACTAATCCTGTTGTGCAGATGAAGCGTCTCAGCAAGATATGTTTGGGGACGAGTCAGACCATGAGCAGCCAGAGGAAGAAAACGATGAAGCTCAATGGAGAAAGGACAGGATGGAGAGAGAAAAATTTCTGGAAGAAAGTGTAAGATATTCTCTGCTGTAACATTTATGATTTTCAAAATGATGTGGGCAAAGAAAGCCTTATACTTTTTCTTCTCTGTTTCATGCTGTATTGTTATCACTGTATTTCATACTGTGCCAATGTCACTATATTATGCACTTGGAAGGGCAGCTCAAAACCATGATGCCCTGTGGTCTCTCTAGTGGATTGAATGCCAACAACATTTGTGTTAGTGATAGATGTATATATAGAATGTCTTATCTTTTAATTATAAGACTTTAAAATGCTATTGATATCCAGTTATTTAGAAGCCTGATGCACTCCCAATTGGGAGGGGGGGGGGGGGAATACTTTCTGTTTATGAATCGACTGGCCAAAGAATGTTTTAGCAGCAATGCCAATGGAAATTTAATTTTTCGCTTTAACCCTTTTTAATTTGGTACTTAAGAAAGAATGTTTAATTCTAACAATTATGCTTCTTGAATTTTAAGAATTGGTTCGTAAATAAAAAAGTTATGGGGTTGTAAAAGTCGGCAAAATATGGATAACCCACATATAGGAAAATACTCCTCAAAGTGGACCACGCAATAGCAGATTCTGTCAGAAAAACAATGATATCTCAGTAATTAACTGGAGTGTTCGAAAGAAACTTGGCTACCCAGTGTGTTTTTGGATGGAGAAATCATTTCTGCAGTCAGATTTACTAATTATTTCGTAATTGTTTTGTTATAATTAAAATTTTGGTGTACGTATTACGATTTTGCGAAAAAGGCACGGGATCTTTAAGAATATGTTGGCAGCGTGATTAGATAATGGCAAAGTTTTCTTTGGTGACTTTAGACCATTTGGAACTTAAAGTTAATTCAATCTAGCATGCCGTACAATTAAACATTCTTTTTTCCCATTTAGACGCGAACACCCCGAGGTGAAATAAGCTTGTCTCGGAATGCCCCCATTGCGATGTTACAGGGGAACAAGAGAGAAAAACAACCGGATGCGCGTGTCTGCCATTGCTCTATTTCAAGTGACCAATGAACGGGCTCGGAATAGTCATGTGGGGATTTGTAGGTCACATACATAATTTGCTGAGGGAGTGAGGGGAAAATGGCCGGACTCTGTGCGAAGTCGTTTTGGATAGGTGATAGTCGTGCATTTATGATCAAGTCTAAACAACTATTTGACACAAAACGTTCAAATGTGAGGACACTATAGAGGAAAGATAGATCTATAAGCGTCTCCGCGTTGAATATCAAGCTTCTTATAGTTTTTGGTACACCCGATACGAAAGTGTTCCCGACACCAAAGATATAAGTTAATTTATGTGTATGAACTTCAATTTCCACATATCATTAGTTTGCCCTATTTTCTGATTAGTTGCCAAGTTTCATTCACATTGGTCCAGAAATAGAGCAGATTGAGGTTGAGAAAGTTAGTCACTTACGTTCCGACCCGGTCAAAAATTCACCCGCATACGGGGACCAAATTTTCGCTGCGCAGAAGCCAGATTGGCATTGCTAGTTTTAGTGTCCAAAGCAGGTTGTTTGTGACTATTTTGTAGACCTGTCAAGTGAGTCCTATCTCTCTGATTCTTTTGTTTTTTATATCTCTATGGAAAAACCTTGATCAAATTTACTTAAAATTCTATTACTTTTTTTTCTTTTTGAATTCCATTTCCATCAGTTGAAAGCAATTTATTGTAAAAAAATGTGAATATGTACAGGTTTCTTTGCATTTTTTATGTGACTTATTGTAAATGATGTGAAAATGCTTATTTTTATTTTCATGCATTTGCTATACTTGGAATCTGAATCTACTGGGATTCTGAAGACTCCCAATTTTTCCCTTAAATCTGATTTTTATGATGGATTCTGAGGAAAACTCCTGTATTTGGTCATTGAGTGGTTGGCAGCTCTGATTTTTGTTGACTGTCAGCTTTGCCTCTTTTTTTTTCCCCTTTATCATCATTATGCTTTCTGTGAACTGCAATTTCTTCATTCTAAGCAATGTTCTCCAAGAAAATATCCCATTTTTCTGTGTCAGATGTGTGGTGGTAAACGTGAAGATAGTTGACAGTGCTTCCACTCTTCCGTAATTTTACGGAAATCCGTACTTTTTGCCAGTTCCGTACTTGTTCCTCCATGATTATCAACTCCCTCCGTAAAAAGCTGCGACAGCGTATACTACCGAAATTCCGTAGCAAAAGATCCGTACTTGCCTTCGTATCATCTAGTACTAGTATAAGTTGCGGATATTTACGGTAATGTTATAGAAACCTGCCAGATTGTGCATTTCCTGCAATCGACCATTATTCCGCTATGCCCCATGCATTCATTGCGGATTGGCCGGCAGTACATTTTTACCTATGGATTGATCAAAATATGAACTTTTTGTGCCAATTTCCTCCTTTCTATCATTCACTCATTCCGTCTGTCTATCTTCGGATTGTTGCAGCAGCTGGAAAATCTGCGCGTTGCTCAAGTAAATTGACTTGTGATCTTTGACAGAAAATTACTGTCAGAAAGATACTTTTCTACAAATTTGTCTAGATCTAGAGAAATGATCAATACAAAGATTCTAGGGCACGGGAACGCGATAAGGGCCGCAATGAAAGAAATATTTATGCTAAAACTACTAAAATCAAGAAAAATTAGAAGTGGTGTTCTGAGGTTGTGACATGCGACATTCAGACGTGAAATTTAAGAGTATAGGCCGGGTAAGTGTATTGTGAAGGTACATATCTATTCATTATTCCCAGGTTTGCCTTCTATCAATGGTGTGATGACAAATGAATTGAATTATAGTAGCAATGGAAGGGGAACCTGTTTTTAAATGGGAATATATTATGTAGATCTAGATCTTGGTGAAAAAATAAATGTTATGGTTTGTAGGCGATCTCTTCAAACAGGCTCCCAAATGCCATTTTCAACCCTCTAAAAGCAATTTCTTCGGGGGCGCACCCGGACGCCGCCACAATTTTCCTTACTTTTCAGTTTCAGCTGGTGGAAGCACTGAGTTGAGAATGCTCAACATTTTTAAAGAATGTCATGAGTGTATGTTAAAATTTACATCCTTCTGTATTTTACCAATGAATTACAGTTCTTTAACTATTCAATATGCAAAGTGGCTTTGATGTTTTGATCATGAGTCATAACTTTTATAAATATATATAACCATATAATTTTTTTTTCAGCAAAGTAATGATGGTGGAAACAATAACTTCTTAAAGATGGGGAAAATCCTACTGACAAAAGGTGAGAATGCTATAATAAACTGGTCAAATAGTATTTCTGTTGAGAGTTGATTTCAGCTGAAAAAGGCTACGAGATGGATCAGGTTATTTTTTGGCAACCCACACATGGCATAGGAAAATATTGGGAAAATTCTGTCCTCTTCTTTGCTTGGCATTTATTATGGTTCTTTTGCCACTTTTGGACAAGGAGGAAAGTGTGTGTGTGTGGTTGGGTTTTTTTTGGTGGTTTTTTTTATACGTCTTACTGCTCATTGCAAATGGCATTTTGGACCTTGTGCCCATGCTCTTATCAGTACTGTGTGAGGGGGTGTTCTGACCACTGTCTTCCTAAACCATTTCGGCAAATCAGGTGACAGATAACAGACAATAGACACTGAATTAGTTTGTTTATTTTGTACAAGGTGTAAGTCTACAAGATGAGATGTTGCTGTGGGAAAATATGTCTATAGTTTCTTCCCAATGACACCACTTGCATTTAATATGTTGTATTTGAGAGATTTCTTTTCTTCTGAGAATGTTTTTGAAGCTATTAATGTAGATGTTATTGTTAATCTTTTAAAAACTTGCTTTTTTTCAGAGCCCTCATTGCCTTTAGCAGAACAAGAGCCCACCTGTAAATCTGCGGCACTTCCCTCACAACCGAAACCAAAGGTATTGATACTTGTTTTTTTCTCTTATTTGATCACTATACTTTCACATTTCTCAGTACCTACTTACTTTCCTCAATTCACCTCTGCTTAAAGATAGCATTAAAGTGTTTAGGGTTATGAAATAAATGCTGTATTACAATATATATTATAAGGTGTATGGTGTGATAGAATATTGTTTTCATGAGAATTTCTTTGTCTCCAGGGAATAAAATAGGTTGGTGCTGGGATAAAATAGTTTTCTCTGCGTTTAAATAGTAGATGTATGCAAAGGTTTGTTTGATAGTTGCTACCGCCTTCTCATTTGTCAGCCAATTGAAACATTCCGCTTTCCTGTCTGTATAATATAGACATATACGCAGATATGACATGAAAGTTGTGACCTCATTTTGCATTCTGTCTCCTTGAGAATTAATCTGTCTCGAGACAGCTTAGATGTTTGATGGTGGCGTGGTGCGGCTTGAGACTTAATATTTGACTGTTTGGCTCTCTCTGCTTCCTACATCATTTTGACTACTCAGTGTAAAACTGTACCATGTCACTTTTCAATGGAGTCTCACACTAAGCAGTCGATTTGTAATTGATACTGACACCACTTCAAGAATTAACAGATCTAAAAAAATCTGAGATGTTTAATGATGTCGCGTGACTTGTTGCTTAAAGTTTGAATGTCTGAGTGTCAATCGCTCTCTCTGCTTTTACTCTGATATCATTTTAAAAAATTAAATATATATATGGCGATTATGATCTTAATGTATTTTATCTTTTCTTAGCTAACCACAAATTTTCTTTCCCCAACCCCCATGCAGCTGGCAAAGAAAGGTTCATTCCTGGCTCGGAGCAAGGAGGCCTTGGTCAAAATTGCTCAAGTTGCTAAGGGGGCGTTTGGGGGCAAGTCCTCTGGGAAGGCAAAAGCGTTCGTCTTCCATGCTGTTGATAATTCAGAAAACCAGAATGAAAATGAAGCAAACCTGGTAAGTGACTTCTGTGTTGTGCTGTTCAATGTATTCACTGCCTGGAGCCCTCTGACAAAATATCTTTTTCGACCTCGTGTTATACTTGATAATGTGCTAGACTTTATAAAGCTAGACTTGCAAGCCTACATATCGTCACTGTGCTAGCAAAATGACACATCTCATTGTTGCTACTTTTGAGATAAATGGGAAAAAAATGTTAGTCTAGACTATGTAAAAACTTGCGATGCTTGTTTCTTTTTTGACTGCCACAGCCAGCTTGTTTTGGTTTTGGTTTTACCAAAGGATAGATACAGATCTGCCACTCATCCCGATTTTTTGCCCCAAATCTCAAGCATCCCGATTTTCCCGATTTCAGTCGCCGGTATCCTGATTTTTTGTCGTTGCATCTGTTGCGTCCGAATCTTTTAAAAAATATATAAAAAGTTCGCAATCTCTTTTGCTTAGAAGCACCGATTGGACTTTTTATGGGCAGGAACTTGGAATGCTACTTTCTAAAGCATCTATGCCGATTATAGTAGATGACATACGCACATTATTTCAACTAAAACCGACGCAGTATCAATTTTAAATTCCGACTTGGATACGCTCAAGATCTACTTTCGCTTTTATAACCGAGAATTCTCCGATGGTGTCCTGAGTACTGTAACAATTATGACATGGGCCTAAGAATAATCTATTTGTTGTTCTGCTGTTGCTTTAAAAGCAAGCTTCGTCGTTCTGGTTAGTCGGGCCCATCATCAAGACCTTGGAACTTTCAAACGTTCATTCGCTTCACGTGACATGACCTCGTAAGTGTGAGTAGCGCGTGTGTCGGGGACCGTCGGCTGTCGGGGTCAACAAAGTTCATTCACACCGGTCGCATTGGTCGAGGTGTTTTTCGGGACCCAGTGTGGAAGACCGGGGGGAGAAGGGGGGTGTATTTTTTTAACACTTGGGCTTAAAGTGCGTGCCGTGATACAGGTACTAATTGAGGGGAAAGGAATAAGAAAAATAAATAAATGAACAACCTTGGCGCTATCTTTTTTTCGGCGGGAGGGGGGGGGGGTTGCCTTGCGTGTATATGCGATGAAAGTCAAACTATGAAAACGCGGGTTTTCAAAACTACGAGTTTCAGGTTTATTGCAACCTGCGCTCCCCCAGTCTATCCGACTCCGACTCGAGTACATATATGCTGTCTTTCAGTTTTCCCACTGTTTAGAGGCCCAAATGTGAACTTATTCCAGGAACCAGGACCCCCCTCCCCCCAGTGCCCCTTATGACTGATTTGCCGTTGATCCCGATTTTTTTCACCAGATCCTGAATTTTTTACTCCAAAATCCTGATTTTTCGATTTCATAGATAAGAGTGGCAGGTCTGGATATTGTGTCACCAAACAAAATAAAAGCCTAGATGCAGATTGTTATGCCAAGAACGTGGGTGGTTGGTGGGTGCTATGGTGTGGTTTGCTCCTTCTTTCCTATCAAACATCTGTCATCCTTATCTCTCCTCCTCCTTTTTTGTGTTTGTTATTCCCTTGTGACACCTAATTTTTGTCAGTTTTGACTGCTCAGTGTAAAACTGTACCGTGTTACTTTTCAATGGACCCAATTGTGTTGCAAGTGCCATAAAGCGCTAACTAAAAAAAGTGAGCCAAGAACTGTGCGGAGTTGTTCTAAAAATGTTTAGTATAACACATTTATTTTGTCTTTTTGCTGTCTAAAACATTTGGAATAACACTTCAATTCTTTTGTCCTGGATGGTGAAATGTGGCGACTGTCCTTAGATACTCCACTAAGAATGTCTTTTATATTCCCGTGCTGTACTTTTGAGATGGAAATCAACCTTAAGGAAAGCAGTGGTATTGCAACAAAGAAACAGTACTCATGGGTTGCTCTCATTTGTCAAATGCATCTTTGACTTGTCTCTTTAGTAATGAACAAACTTATGATCATTGATCCTGATTTTGCTGCTGTTTTCAATAAAGGTTTCACTAAAAGTAAAAGCTAGCCAAAAGCAAATATTATGGGTGCTTTGTTGTTAGTGAAGGTAGTGCATGAGAGATGAAGAACCTTGGCCTCTGAACCTCCTGAATCCACCTTCTGTGGAAAAAAACTTTCCTACGCCTTTTACGTTCACTCTACATAAAATTTGGAAAGCTCCTCCTCATTAGTGTTGGTGTTAATTCATATTTTATCCCACTTCTATAGTCAAGATTAAGATCTGTGTGTGGTCAGTGGAGCACTATGATAATAACTGACGCTGTTGAAATGTCACTTTCACTTTGGTCTAAGTTTGTTCATTAGTATTCACCTCTGTTTGTTAAATGATAACGATCCACTTCCAAATTGTAATAGCTGAAACTTTTCCTATTTCAGCCACCTCAGCCATTCCAGCCTCCGAAGCGAAAAGCTAGAGATGTGCCTAAAGGTCATATTCAAGCCGCAAAAAAGCAGAAGATGGCATCAGAATCTCCCAGCAAACCTGAGATCAAGCGACAAAACAGTATTTTTAATTTATTAGAAAAAAAATGATGCTGTTAAACTGTTGAAGGCAACATTCAAATGCGTTGAGTTATTGGACTTCAATCTATCATTGCATTTTCTGTGAAGAAAATAAACAAGACTTTATAGGCAAAAGAGAGACAGAATTATGATAGCATTCCTGAGGTTGATACACTTGTAAATTTTGTACAGCATTGTTTGCAACTGATGATGCCTTTGGCTTGAATTGAAGTTCAGCACTAGGAAAACATTCTTGCCTGTATCACAGTATCAGTCTCTTATTTAAGATAATAGATTTATGGCATTTACTTATTACTTCTCGGGAAGTGTGTTTTTCAATTTTGCGTTAAAGCAGAAGGGAGGTGAATGTTTGAATGGTGTAAAAAATCATTCATTGCATTCCCAAAAATATAGTTGAAAATTGGGCTAGTATGACCTTCAGGCTGAGATACAGAGCTTATGTAAATTCCATGTATTGGCTACCAAACTTCCTATGACAATTTTGAGGTCAGATTTTTAGCCATTATTTTTATTTTCACTTTAGAGTGTTTAGTGGGTTTGATTTTGATTGTATGTATAACAACTTGGAGGAAAGTGAGCACAATGTTTTTGTTCACCCTGTAAAACAGGGTCAAATGGCATTACCCTTTAATTTTATTGCGATGGTTTGAACAATACTTGAAAATAAATCCTTAATCTTCTTGCTTTGCCCTTCCAATAGTAAATGATTGTCTATTTTGGCATGTGCCATTATATTCTGTTGTGTATGGGAAGAGTTGAGTATTCCAGGTTCACTGTTAAATTATTTTATCACAAGCTTGTACATTTTGACTGCAGCCATTTTCCTTGTACAAGAGTGAATAGCCCACTCTGACATTTTTGTGTGTACTGTTCACTTGCATTTGATGACCATTATTGTTGTAATTTATATTGATGCAATTGCTTTATTGTTACTTTCAAATCAATAAATTTTCACCTATAAACTTCAGGTGCCCTCTCCAATTTGTACACTGGGCCCAATGTTTTGTATCAGACATGTCATTGTTATATATATACATTATATGTAACTTTCCAGTCCTAATCAAGCCTTAATGAGTAATTAGCAGATGCTCTGGTGTGGTTTGCTCCTTCTTCCCTATCAAACATCTATCATCCTTACCTCTCCTCCTTTTCTTTGTTTGTTACTCTCTAGTTCTTGTAACACCTCTAATCTTTGGCACTTGTATGACCTAATTGTTTAACAAGTGGTTTAAAACTAACTAAAACTAAAATCAAGCCTTGGACACACCAGTGTCTACAGAAATGGTAAGGCTCTTCACTAATGCACGCAGAAAATGTGACTTTGATTCATAGATTAGGAAACTCATTTTATTCAGTATCTGTCTGCTTTGATGTATCATGCTCCAACCAGGCAGGGTTAAAACAACTTTTCTCTCAACCCCTTTGTTGCCTGGTACATCATGAAAATGCGTAATTTTTGGCTGTGTGCCATACCATGTACAAAGTTAGCAGTGCTGACAGTAGGAGCACATAACCCCTGGTAACGAGGGGGCTAAGCACCTCAGTTGCATTGATGGAATTGAAAAACATTCATGATGATTCTTACAACCGAGTCTTGGACATTTTTGCTTTGGTGTAGACACTGAATTGAGATCCTGGGAAACATTGTGATAAAGGCCACATTTCAACAATAGATAAGGCGCCTGCACATCTACAGAGCATCAACCATCTATCAGCTGTTCAGAGACTGTGTTTTCTGATGGGAACCAGAAATGCGTTGTCTTAATAGGCACTTCAGTGAACGCGCTCACTATAGAGTCATTTGGCTTCGGAAAGTCCCATAGGGTTTTGTTTCCGGACATGACGTCTCATCGCGACAGTGCCCATATTTTTGTTCAATTTAGGGGACCAACATTCAAGTCCGATACATGTCTTTAAAGACCTGTGGATGGCCTTCAAAACGCTTCTTTCCAGGTCGATGTGTGACTAATGAGTCTCGAAATATTTAAAGTTGAAAAATAGACAATTTTTAACCATTGATTTTTGATAAATTTTCTCGTCATATGATATTTTTTTCAAACCACCCTTGTTGATAAACCATTCTTTGCTCTTCCAGAAAACGTTTAAATGGTTATCGTAGAAGTCTTACCTTGGCTAGTGTAGTCTTACCCTTTTATCAACCAAAGCCGCGAAAACCTAGCTGAACCCTTCCACCGTGACATCGCGCAGAGTCCTGACGTCACGCATTTTCGCCTTGAGCTTTTGGCTCCCTCTCTTCATTGTTTGAAATGTACGAGACAGGGAAATACATCGCCAAGAGATTTTTAAACTTTAGTTCAAAAAGTTAATCAATTTCGGTAATGTTTTATAATCACTGACCTCACATTGTGCCTTAGTTTATTCGATAGTATAAAGAAAATGAGACTTTAGACCCAAGTATTTCCTTTTCACTGAGCTCCCCCTTCCCTCCTTTTTCCCCTGCCCAAAGCCTTTCATTGCGTAGGCCTTGGGCCTAGATTTAGTATTATAAAGAGTCCGAACTCGTGTTGTTAACACAGTCAAAAATTAAATTGGGACGCCTATTAAAGTATCGGATGCATTTATTTTCTGTCTTTTCTGTCGTATGAAAAAGAACGAAAAATGCTATGTACTGGATTGTGGAATCCACTGCATGCCCCCCCGCCCCGTGAGAGGCATGGTAGGCCTAGCTAATCTAGACTAATCATGCCACACCCTCCCCACTCATTCGCTCCGGCCTTCACTGTTGGCACACGTGGGCTCCCCCATTCTTTGTTTCGCTAGATTACTAACAAGTCTCTCAACTGGCGAGATTTTACATAAATATAAACATTCCACTAGAACCGTCTCGTGTGTTTGTCTGACTGCGCTATAACAGTACATGTATTTTATTTACAAAGATAAAGAAGGAAAAAAAACAGGGTTTCAGAATAGTGTCTGTATAACAAACTTCACGTTCTTTCAGGACTCGTTATAATTGTGGACTCCACTTTATAACCTTGTGCATACTCTGCAAGTCAATACCTTTGATCTTCTAACTCATCCAAATGCACCAAAAAAGCTATGTGGGTGGTTGGCGGGTGCTCTGGTGTGATTTGCTCCTTCCTTCCTATCAAACAACTCGTCTTTATTTCTCCTCCTTTTTTATGTTTGTTACTCTCTTATAACACCTCTAATCTTCGGCACTTATATGACCTTATTGTGTTGCAAGTGCCGTAAAACTTTCTGAAAAAATTTTTTTTAAAATAATAAGTGGATCAAACTAGCAGTCAGAATAAGTGCAAGCTTGAATCATGATAATATGTAAAAAAAAAACTCTACCTTTAGTCACATCAAGCAATGTGGAACTTCAAACATTTCTTAAAAACACACATATTACATAACCATTGACAGGCCGTTAAAATGCTCAAATTTAGCACAAGCGGCTGTTTGCAGTAAGTACGTACTAAAAGAACAGCAAAAACAATAGTCACCTCTAGCACCATGTGGTATAGCAGTCAGGCACTTAGCTTCACTGTCCTAAGCAGAAGATTTAAGTTCAATTCCTAGGTGATGAGGGTTTGTTTTTGGGTTTTTTTCATCTCCATCTGTGTGCTAGAATGTGTCCCCCTCAGCTCTGGTTGACCCTGACAGGCAGGGTTGAAGCGCCCACCTCTTACATGATCAAAGCAGTACTGATGGGCGTAAACACCTAAAATTACATAACAAAAGTCACTGTACTGTTCTCCTCAACCTTGTTATTGGTTGTCTGTGTCATCGACGACATACATGTCACTCTTCTTAGTAGATGAATTTTAAAACTGAGAATGATTTAAATATAAAAATATGTTTATTCACTAAGAAAGAAAAGCATGTGTACAATAATAAATCTAATATCACAGTAGTTAGATCTATAAAAAAAAACTAAATCATAAATTAGGTAATGTCAAGACAAATTATTGAATTTCATCATAAAATCAAAGTCCTTGTAGCTTATTCTTCCATCAGAGTCTCGATCAAGTTCTCTGAAAAAAGACAAAAAATGTTTTAAAATTAAACATAGATCTAGGCTTACGTAGAACATGAATTCATCCTAAGATGTAAGTTGTGTCCCCTCTCTATCATATTTCATCAATTCCAATTTTTAATTTTAACAAAGACTGAATTAAATGTGTAAACATTTGTGTGTGTGTGATATACATGTAAAGTTAGCATTGCTAGCTTGTAAAAGAGCATTCATTTGTATAAAATTTAAATAATCATGATGACATACATAATGAGAGAGAAAAGAATGCCAGCATACCAGATATAGAGGCAAGAGGAAAGTGCCAGTATACAAACATAGGGTAGAGTGCCAGCATACAGACCTAGGAGAAGAGGGGCTCTCGTGGTCTAGAGGTTAAGGTGTTCGCCTCTCATTCAAAGGCTTCTCGTTCAAATCCGGGTAGCAACCAAAAATTTTTCTTCTCTAAAACTTGTCTCCTTTCACCTCCTTTCTTGCTCTTTAGCAATGTTCTGTCGTCTGCTTTCGTCTCCACTTTCTACCCCCACCCCCTCACCTCCTTTGCCCCATCCTCTAGGCTCCTGACTCTTTTCTGCCGCCTTTCAACTGCTACTCCTTGGCTCCTTCTCACTGCTGTCTTTCAGCCACACCCCTGATCCTCTGGTAGGAAAGATCCACACCTAGTCTTCTCGGACAAGGGCAAAAAATCCCGGCAGTCCCGTGTGCAAGTTGCACACATTAAAGATCCCTTGGTGGTCCAAAATCGATAAGAGTAGGCTTCGGCCGCCACCCGGACAAAATTTTTAATTTCCTAACAACTGAAAAATGTTTTATGTGTCCTGTGCGCGCACATGACCTTATGCAGTGGCAACAGATCTACTATAAAGAGAGAGGAAAGGGTCAAGAAATAGACTTGAGAGAAGAGATTGCCAGTTTACAGGTCTATAAAAAGAGAGAGGAGAGCGCCTGGATACACACATAGTCACATTGAAGAAGTGAAGAGTGTGCCAGCCACCAAACAGAGGAGAGGGCCAAAGTTTTAACAGGATTCCTACTTTAGCAGGCTTATAATAAATCCATGAGTCCGGTCTCTTATAATGTATAAATAAGTTTGGGCAGACACGCTCGGCTACAACACTGACATAATCCTATTGAAAACAAATGGACAAGAAGGCAGAAAAAATCAAATGAAGCAAAACAAAATCCAACATGGCAATTTGAACCTACATGGCCCACAGTAAACCTGGGAAGTTGATTGCTTGCACATTTTATGATGTGTCATAACGTGTGTGTAGGGGATGGATGGGAAAAGCTGAATGGTATCGATACAAATCTAGTCAATGACTTAGTGTGGCCTTGGTCTGTATCCCTTTCAGGTGGTGGAGACTTTTTACAGGAATAATATGACTGAATGAATAATAGACACTAGGCATTAGATCTGCCACAGATCTATGTGTGGTTTTTTTCTTAACTGTGTAAATTTTATTTATAAATGGTTGAAAAGCACACAGTGCATACTATAGACTGTAGAACATGAATTTGCTCTACATTTATAATTGAAATTATTATAGTTACCCATGCATCTCAAATTACAACTGGTTATCTCCATTAGACTAAGAATAATAGATTCGAAAAAAAAGGGAAGATAAAGTTGTTGTTGTTGTTAGCGATCCAGTAGCATCTGAGCGTTAACTCTTCTGCATGATGCCATTCGGTAATAGTTGCATGTTTGTTCTAACTGTTGTCTTGAGGAGTTGAGGCAATTAGATGTGTGGGGTAGCTTGGGAAGAAAACATCCCCTTAAATCAGTTAGTTTTCTACAGAAAAACAGATGATGTTCCACTGTCTCTGAGGGGTAGTCACATAGTGGGTAGGCAGCAGACTGCTTTACTCCAATTCGGTTGGGTTGAGGGGTAGGCTACATGTTGTGTTCTAAGTTGGAAGATTATGGATTGATCTCCCCTCCTCAACTCATTGATTGGATCTTTGACCAGTGGTTTATTCATGTGGCCATACATCCTCCTTCCTGTCGTACCTGTGGCCCAATCATTCATCCACTCTTCCTTGAGGTTTGACTTGATCATTTGGCAGCAGGTGGTGTGATTTGTAGGAATTTCAGGCTGAGGGAGACTAGCTCCTTTCTTTGCCAGAGCATCAGCTCTTTCATTTCCCGGTATCCCAGTGTGGGCAGGAATCCATTGTAGGACTACTCTGACGTGGTGCCCACTTATCAAGTTATGTAGACTCCAAATCAAATGCAATATCTTTGTTCACATCAGTCCCACTCTCAAGTGTCTCTAGTGTTGAAAGGCTGTCTGTAAATATAACGATGTCTGTGGTAGCAAGTGGGTTAGTGTCAAACAAGTAGTTGATGTAGTTTGCTGTGTTGGTGATAGCCTGTTGTTCGGCAATGAAATTGGAGCAGAAGGACCCGCTGGAGTTGAAGACTTCTTTTTTTTCCCCACTGGGCAAGTTGATCACTGACCCATATCCAGCTTTGATTGTTGCCTAAAAGGCAGATCCATCAGTGTATGAGTGGATCCATGTTGGTGGATAGGAATCAATTGTTTCAAGGGCAGAATGTTTTAGTGCTACAGGATATGTGTTTTAATTGCTCTTGTCCAAAAGTGTTTTCCTAATTTCTGGCTTTGCTATGGTGAGATGTGGTGGGAGAGTTGAGGGAACTCTTTCCAGAGGTTCTCGTCTTTCAGGGAGGTGATGTTTTTCTTGGAGATTGAGAACAGGGTCAAGTACAGATTTTGTATTTTTTAGTCTTTGATTAGGTTTCCACTTGTCAACAAGGACTCTATTAGGGTGGTTATTTTCTAGCCTTTTAGATCTTTCATATATTTCTAAAACTGCCCGTTTTCTTCGAGTTTCTAATGGCTCAATATTTGTGTGGATTTCACAGGCCGCAGTCGGTGAGGATCTCATTCCGCCAGAGATAAGACGAAGAGCTTGGTTTTGGATGGTGTCCATCGAGTTCTTTGGAGTTTTACTGCAAATGTTTTGTAGAACAAGATTATAATCAAAAACAGCTCTGATATATCCCAAATAGAGGCCTCTCAAGGTGTTCTTGTCTGATCCCCAGTTGGTACTGGCAAGTCGTTTGATGAGATTAAGTCTCTTCATAGCCTTCTTCCTAAGGTTGTTGGTGTGTTGTTTCAGGTTGAGCTTGCTGTCAAGTTGTACTCCAAGATACACTGGGTTATTCTCCTTTTTCAAGTTGTTACCATCTATTTTGAGAGGGATTTCTGCATTTGCAAGGTTATAGCTTCTTGTAAAAACAGAGTAGACAGTTTTTTCACAATTTACTTTCATCTTCCATAGACGGCAATAGGTTCCTAGGGAATTTAGATCATCTTGTAGTCTTCGTCTGCTTATTGTTGTCGAGTTTCCAGTGTGCCAAAGGACCAGGTCGTCAGCAAAAAGGGCTTTTTCTGTTTTGAGAACATCTGAAACATCATTGAGGAAGACAAGGAATAAGGTACAGCTGATAGAAGATCCCTGTGGGAGTCCTTCCTCCAGTACTGCTTTTGAAGATAGGGTTTCATCCATCTGGGTCTGGATAAGTCTATCTGTAAGAATGATTTAATCCAGGAGTACATGTTTCCCTTGATTCCCATGTTCTGCAGTTTTAAGAGTAGTCCTTTCCTCCACACTCTATCGTAGGCTTGTTGGAGATCCACAAACACAGCCGGAAGATAAAGACGAGACAAAAATTTATCATTGAAAAAGATAGAGGGGCAATAACCGCTAGATAAGTGGTACCGAAAGTAATCTATGATACTATGAGCGGTAATTAAAACAATTCCATTCATCAATCAATAGTAAAGGTGCATGTAAACTTTATCCCCATCTATAACAGGTTTCACTATCAGAGGGGTATCACGTCAGTCCTGGTGGTCCAGTTATGGCCAGGGCTCACTGTCTACACGGAGAAGAGAGAAGAGTGGCCGAGCACTGATAGAGAGGAAAAAGACGATTAAGAGATAATGCGGGGAGAGGTGAGTATCACAATCAGCCTACAGATTGAAAGAAAAGAGGAGGGTACCAGAGTATAAAACTACATAGAGAGAAGAATGACATTGTACAGATAGAGAGAGAGAAGAGAGCAAACATACGGAGACAGGAGCATGTGCAAGTGTACAGTTACAGGAGAGATGAGAGAGCCAGCATACAGACATACAGCAGAGAAAAGGAATGATAATAACATGGGCCTTACTTGAATGCAAGCTCCACCTGGTGCTCTGGGAAATGAGGACACACTTGCTGGAAGACACTCTTCACATCTTCCTTGGATAAAAATCCCCGACCTGTGGGAGAAAAATGTGACTGATAAATATGAAGAAAGAACAAAGGAGACAGTGACAGAGTCAGCAAACAAACAATATTATTGACATTTTATCACATTGAACAGTATCCAAACAATAATCTCCATCTAACAAAAAGAAAAAAGTTGTCCTGTGAATACTCAGCTTGAACCCAACCAAATAATATTCTTGTAAACTGTTAATGTTCAGCTGAACATGTACACATACATTTGTGTCCCTTTCATAACAATGGACGCGTATAAGGAAATGTATTCAAGACTCCAGATAGCATCAGTCATACAACTCAAACCAATGAACCAAGAGGCACAGTCATCTCTAGAAACATTCATAGCGAAGTCAGAATTTTGACTGGAATTTTTTCTCTCGAAATCCTTGAAATCATGAAAACACAATCTATATCAAACTTCACTGTCTATGAAGAAGAAATGGCAAATCTAAAAAAAAAGTAAAAAATACCTTATCACCATGTAATATGTCAAACTGCACGCCCCTGCACCAGATTTTTTATAGTGCACTAAATCATGAAAGAAACGCCTATATTAACGTACTATATAATAGAGTTGGGGCGAGCGGACGGACGGGTTCGTTACTCGCGGACTCAGTCAGAGCGAACGGGTAACAGACGGCCATGAGAGCGAACTTCGAACCTCAAAACAGTTCGTTTTTTGGTTCTGCTCCACAATTTGACTCTCTCAGCGAGCGGACTGCGGACCTCAAGCCTCAAGTCAGTTCGTTTTTTGGGTCCGCTCCACAATTTTATTCACTGGGCAGGCGGGCGAACGGACGAACTCTAGCAGACGAGATACTCGACACGAGATTAGACCCATCGTCTATTGTTTGTTAATTAGGCCTGATGTTTCAAACCACTAGCTGTGCCACAGGGAGTGAGAGAGGCTGGTGACGTAGTACTATGTGTGTAACCTTTCACCTCGTGCGTGGGGGACACCGTGTACGTTCCAATTATCGCAAAGGCCGGGGGGGGGGGGGGGGCGGAAATTTCCGCCAATTCACATTTACACCAAATTTGGGCGAGGAGGGTGTTTTTAAACTTTTTAAAAAATTTTTTTTGGGGGGGGGGGGGGGGTTGTAAGTTGTAGGCAATGGAAGGAGTCGTTCCCGTTCGTCCGTCCGCCCGCTTGAATGCACGGAGTCTCTCGGTCCGCCCGTCCGCCCGCTCGCCCGATGTGTAGCGAGTAGCGAGTAGCGAACTACTCTTCACAACGGACGGTTCGTTACCCGTCCGCTCGTTTGCGGGTAGTGCCAACGAGTAGTTTGTTACTTGCGGACGCTAATTTTGCGAGCCCGACCCAACCCTACTATATAAGCCTCTTAAATCACCATCTGTCAACTGCTTGATTTATACTGTCTTTACAAATATAAGGTAAATTTGTCTCATAACACCACCAGCAAATTGGCTGCCAGAGGTACACACTACACATGGCGCATGGCATCCACAAGACAACTGTGCAGTATAATCGGCCTCTCTCTCACACATGATTCTGCGAGCTAGGGCTTGTAGTCGATTTGCTCCCTCCTTGCCCATCCTACAGCCTGACAGGACCATTCTATGCCTGATGGCCATCTCATGGTTTCGTACAAAGGGAGATAACTCGTTATAATATTGTTCTTTATCTTGTCATGGCAGAATTATTTTCTTTGAGGCTGGGCAGTCAGCGTTACATAACAGAAAACAGCATTAAACCCTGTTAAAGGCTGCTATACCGCGAACTTCATGCTTGTCACAAGGTTGGCAGTGTAATGCGGTTCGACTGTAATAGTAACATGATATTTATACTGTTAAGATTCACAGCAACAATGTGGGATTTACAGATTAGCTTTCATGTAAGACCTTCAGTAGCATCTTTGGTCTTTTGTACTAAAGTTCCATTTATTCCTTGAGTTAAAGAAATTCAAAAAGCATTCTAGAATTATACATGAGAAAACCAAACAAACATCAATACTTACAATTTTTATCAAATGCCAAGAAAGTGCTTCTTATCTGCTCATCTTCATCAACTGCTGCAAATTTTGGCTTGACTGCTTCTGTAAATTGAGCTAAGCTTAGACCTATGAGAAACAGAAAAGGAAGGAAGTCGATAAATAAACATTCATCTGAGTTATCTTTAAAAATTAAAATGAAACAATATACATTCACACCCTGTCATTGCTGATTCGAGTTTTATCCAGAATAACATTCTTCCAAAAGCCTAAATATAACAAATGCAAAACCGCAACATTAAAAAATTGAAAATGACGCTTGTTTTTATATTGCAGTAGTATCACAAATTAATGCTGCTATGATGCTTAACTTAACATGTAAGTTTGACTGAATCAAAATAGAAATAGTTTATTTCATTCTTTTCAGTCTTTAGCTTGCTGTCTTTCCAAAGGAGAAAAAGATAAAGTTTGGCATTTGTTTGAATAGTTTGACTATGACAGTCAATGTTGGCAAGTGATCAATGCCCTACTTGATCAAAAAGCCATTTTTGTCGATTAAACTGAACAAGCGTTTTGCCCATTAAGTGGGAAATTTAATAAATCAATTCCACCCATGACCATGAGCCGATCCTGTCATACCCCCATCCCGACTATACCACCAATTTCATGCTTGTACCAATGTTGGCGGTATAACAGGGTTCAACTCTACCTAATTATACGTACTATATAATATTTGAAATTTTTTTTTTACAAAAATCTAGGGCAAACAGACCTCTCTCTCCAGAACTCTGCTCTGATCCATAAGTTGACATAATCTGCAGAACTTCCGACTGAAATAAAGAAATGTTAAGTATTTACTTGACATTTCGAGGTGAAATAAACAGGTCTAAGGGGGCTCTCGTGGCCTAGAGGTTAAGGTGTTTGCCGCTCATTCAAAAGTACCGTGTTCGAATCCGGGAAGCAACCAAACAATTTTCTTCTCTAAAATTGTCTCCTTTCACCTTCTTTCCAGCTCTCTAGCAATGTTCTGTCTTCTGCTTTCTTCTCCACTTTCTGCTCCCACCCCCACACCTCCTTTGCCCCCCTCCTCGGGGCTCCTGACTCTTTCTGCACCCTTTCTACTGCTACTCCTTGGTTCCTTCTTACTGCTGTCTTTAAGCCACACCCCTGTTCTTCTGGTAGGAAAGATCTACACCTAGCCTTCTCGGACAAGTATGAACAATCTCGGAGGTCCTGTGTGCAAGTTGCACACCTTAAAGATCCCTCGGCGGTCTAAAATCAACAAGAGTAGGCTTCAGCCGCCACCCAGGCAAAATTCAAAATTTCCTACCAAATGAAAATGTTTAATGTGTCTCGGGTGCTCATATGACCTTATGCAGTTGCGAGCGCCATAAAACACTTACCAAAGAAAAAAAAAAAAACAGGTCTAAAAGAAACAGTAGGGTTACATAGTAGGCCTACATGTACTTACATGTGCATGATTAGACAGAGACAATGATAAATAAAAACGAGGATTTGTTGTTGAATGTACATGGTAAAAATAGAAGAAAATGCCCCTACAAGTAGTACAAGTACTAGAGGACATGCTGGCATTTGGCCAATACATTGATTACCTTACTGAACAAAACCAATGAGCATTCTTGAATCTCAAGGGGTGGGGGAAAAGACGGGAGGCAGAAAAGGATCAAGGACTAGGTAGGGCCACTGAGTTAAAACTTAACAAATACATCAACAAACATACACTCGTTCCAGAAGTTAAGTAATATCAATGTGAGAAATAGCTGGGCTTAATTAAGTGATGATTGTAAATCCGCATAAGTAACATTTATAGGAATTACGAAACCTTGGTAGAAATAACAAAACTCCACTTGTAACATTTTTGTCTCTAGATATTAAACATAATGATCTCTTTGAAAAAAAATGATACCAAATAATGAACTAATAATACAGAAAAAGCAACAAAATGTCAATACTGGAGTCTGAGCCTCTGAGCTAGCTTAGCAACTATCACTTTACATAGTAGGACAATGGGATCCATTTCTAAAACAAATAAAACTGGAATACTGTGAACCCGGGATTAAGGAGACAATACACTGGAATCCTGTTATAACAAGAGGAAGGGAACCGGAGCAAAATGTCCGTTATAGCAGGATTCTCGCTATATGGGATCCAGTAATCAGTAATAAATTCAAGGGAAACTGTAAAGTAGGCCTGATCTATGAGTTTGGTGTTCTGTTTATTTCCTTTTGCTATCTCCCCTGATGATGATTTTGTTTCAACATGACCTCTAGGTCTTACTAGATCAAAAATCGAATCAGGTTTGTTTCTCTAGCGCTAGATCTGGCGATGTGGACTGACAGCTCGGAGTTGGCGATCAGAAAGAAAGAGCTCTGGGCTTACTCGCCCGCTGTGTTTTCCCCCACCCCACCCCACCCCCATCCTGTGGTGCATTCCGTCAGCTTGCGCAGGTCACACATTGGCTCCATCCATCACATTGCTGTGACCTCTCCATCCCCTCATCGGAGAAGTGACAGACATGATAGGCCTAGATAATCTAAACTAGACTTACGCTGGCCTATCACGCGAAGCATTCTGCTTGTCTGCACATGCTACACCCTCCCTACTCAGTCGCTCCGGCCTTCATTGTTGGCACACGTGGGCTCTCTCATTCTTTGTTTCTCCAGTTCACCAACACATTTCTCAACTGGCGAGGTTTTACATTATTTATAATTGGCTCTTTCACTGGTTACAGCAGCAGCAATAATCCGCTATAACCGACTCGCGTGTTTGTCTGATTGCGCTATAGCAGTATTTTATTTACAAAGGTAAAGAAGAGAAAAAAACGGGGTTTTAGAATAGTGTCTTTATAACAGACTTCTCGTTTTTTCCGGACTCGTTATAAGTGGACTCCACTGTACTTTACTCCTCCTATTTTCTCTTTACTCACATCTCTAAATAATTTAATGAAATAATAAAACTTGCAATAACAAATTTTGGTAACAGTATGAGAATCAGAACACATTGAATATTGATGCTTGAAGAATAGAAAATAAACAATGTGGCCAAACCATCAAACCACACTATCTTGGTCATTCTATTGATGGGTAGGCGACTCCTGCATTTTAAAAGCATCCTGGCCTATCTCTTCCTCTGTGATAATCCCCTGACTCAAGTTAAACACATGCTCGCGCTTCAGTACATTTCAATGTGCTCATGTAATGTTGGGTGGTCTGGGCTTGTATGTCCCCACTGTGAGGGTGCAACACACATTACATTGGCAGCAAAGGCATTTAATAGACTTATTATGAGTAGCCTTATAATGGAGTCTGCTTACACAGATGAAAGTTGAATACAAAACGATGGTAAACCGAAAGAAAATAATAGCCCCACCAATATTTTTCCTTCTTTGACATTGTAAAAAAACGATTGATAAGCAGAAATGCTCACATTTCTACGTCGAAAATGAATTTTCAGGATTATGCCAACTAAAGCTTCACAAACAATCCTTATGTTACATAAATCATCATGTCTTACACACTTCAAGATAACAAAACAGGAGAAAGAGACATGAGAACGCGCATGCGTTTTGATTGTAGATCAGACAGAAGCATTGCCAGTGCACTGTGTGCCTATGTTTAACACACACACACACACATAAAAATGCTAATCTACTCTTTCATCTGCTCTGTGCGACTGATTAAGCAAGCTGACAATGTTTAAGAAAAACCACGATTACAGTTCAGATGAGGTAGATTATTTTTTTTAAAAATTTTCAAATGAAACTTGCCACAAGCATGGCATTCCAAAACTATACATTACCATTTAAGCAACCCTCTCTAAACTGAAAACATGGCTAAACCAAAGAACATCTCGCAGTCCTGCAGATTTTGGTTTGCATGGACTTCATTGTATTTGAACAATAAATAGCTTAAGTATAATATCTCTCTCTCTTGCCCTTTTTAACTCCTAGTGGAGCACAGGCCATCAACAGCATTACTCCAGCGAAGCCTGTCCTGAGCATCCTTTTCTATCTGTTTCCATGTTGTCCCCGCTTTTTCAATTTCTGCTTGTACCGCTCGCCTCCATGTCATCTTTGGTCTTCCCTTCTTACGTTTTCCTTGTGGGTTCCACGTTAAAGCATGCCTGATGATGCTTGACGGGGGTCTCGTCAGGGTGTGTCCAATCCATTTCCATTTCTTTACCTGTATGTCTTCCTTTACTGGCCTTTGGCTTGTTCTCTCCCACAGCTGAGCATTAGTGACTCGATCATACCACTTGATCCCCACTATCCTTCGTAGGCATCCATTTACGGAGCTCTGCAGTTTCCTTGCTGCTGATGCTGTGAGCCTCCATGTCTCTGAACCATACAGTAGAACAGTCTTCACGTTTGTTTTGAAGATCCTCAGCTTGGTGTTCAATCCCATTTTCTTAGACATCCATATATTCCTGAGAATGATGAAAGCTGCTCTTGCCTTTTGGATTCTGACCTTGATGTCTTCGTCTGTTCCCCCTGCCTTGTTGATGACATTTCCCAAGTAGGAAAAGGATTCAACATCCACCAATGGTGCCCCTTGCAGTGTGATAGGAACGTCGGCTACATTCATTAGTAGAACTTTCGTTTTATCCGTGTGAATATGGAGTCCAACACTACGGGAGAAGGTCCTGGGGCGATCTGTTTTCTGTTGCATCTGGGCTCAACTGTGAGAAAGAAGTGCCAAGTCGCCTGCAAAGTCCAAGTCTTCCAGCTGATTGGAAAGGGTCCACTGAATGCCACTGCATTGTCCCAATGTTGTCTGTCTCATTATCCAATCCACGGCTAATAAAAAGAGAAAAGCGATAGCAGGCATCCCTGTCTCACTCCTATATTAACTTCAAACGAGTCTGTCCGCTGACCTCCAAGTAAGACACTGCAACTCATTCCCTCATACATCTTCTAGATCAATCTCACGAACTTGTCAGGTATTCCGTACTGGCGCATGAGCTTCCATATTGAGTCCCTATCTAGGCTGTCAAAACCTTTCTCGTGGTCAACAAAGTTAACGTACAGGGAAGAGTTCCACTCTGTGGACTGCTCCACTATTATCCTGAAAGTTGCAATCTGATCTGTACATGATCTCTTTTTACGAAATCCTACCTGCTCCTCTCTTAGTTTTGCATCCACGGCTTCCTTCAGTCTTTCCAGTATGATACAACTTAAAATCTTCCCAGGAATGGACAGGAGCATGATTCCTCTGTAGTTTTTACACTCATGCAGGTCTCCTTTCTTGGGTAGTTTCACGAGCAATCGTTCTCTCCAATCCTGTGGAAATTCTTCGCTGTCCCATATCTTGCCAATAATTCCATGAAAAATCCCTGCCGCAGTGTCAATATCCGCCTTGAGAACTTCTGGGGGAATTCCATTTGGGCCGGCTGCCTTGCCTGCTTTCTGGTGTCTTATCGCCTCCTTGGTCTCCTCTAAACTAGGCTTTTCTTCACTCACCCCCAGATCAATCTCTGCTAATGGAATGTCAAACTGTTCTTCTGGCCTTGGTCTGTTCAGTAGCTCTTTGAAATGCTCCTTCCAGCGGTCTTTCTGTTCGTCTGGATTTGTGAGAAGCTTTCCCTCTTTATCCTTCACTGGCACATCTGCGTTCTTGTATCTGCCTGCAAGTTTCTTGGTGGTTTCATACAGTCCTCTCATGTTTCCTGCCCCTGCTGCTTCCTCTGCCTCGCGCGCTAGGTCATCTACATAGTTTCTTCTGTCTTTCCTTATGCTGACTTTTACCTCCTTCATTGCTTTAGTGTATTCTTCTTGGGCCTTTGCTTTGGCTGCTCTTGTCTTGCTCCTGTTTATCTGATCTTTTTTCTTTTTCTTGTCTTTTATCTTCCTCAGAGTGGTGGCCGATATCCAAGGCTTGTGCTCACGTTTCTATTCCCCAGTACCTCTTGACACACAGTGGTCCAGCCTTCTTTTATTGCCTAACATGTTTCTTCCATGCTGCTATCCTCGCCTAGTGTTTCCAACACTTGGAACCTGTTCTAAACTGCTACATTAAACTCCTCTCTTGATGATGGCTCTCTCAGAAATTTCACGTTGTACCGGTACCTATGATTATTGACAATTCCCTGTCTTCGCTTTAGTTTTAGTCGGATTGTTGAAATGAGCAGAAGATGGTCCAAAGCTACGTCTGCACCCCTGTAAACTCTAACATCCCTTATTGATCTCCAGAATTTCTTGTTGACACATATGTGGTTAATCTGGTTTTCAGTTTTTTGGTCTGGCGACACCCATGTTGATTTGTGTATCTGTTTATGTGGGAAAACAGTCCCTCCTATCATGAGCCCATTTGTTGCACATATTTCTGCAAAGAGTTCTCCATTCTCGTTTCTGACTCCAGTCCGTGTTTTCCCATGATTTCCTCAAAGCCTACATTGTCACTGCCTACCTTAGCGTTGAAGTCTCCCATTAAAATCAAAATGTCCTTCCTTCTAACCTGATCAATAGTATTTTGTAGCATTTTGTAGAAAGTCTCTTTCACATCCTGGTCCTTATCATTGGTGGGGGCATATCCCTGGATAACATGAAGGTTGATGTCTTTCTTCTGTGAACGAAATTCAGCTGATATTAGTCGTGGGCCCTCTGCTTTCCATCCTATCAAAGCCCGCTTGGCGTGTGTTGATAACTGAATACCTACTCCAACTGTATGCGGCGAGTTTTCCTCCAGATGTCCAGAGTAGAGAACTGTTTCCCCTGAAGCAAGTTGGCACTCCCCTACATTCGTCCATCTCGTTTCACAGAGACCCAATATATCCAGTTGGTAGGCCTCCATCTCTCTTGCAACATGCAGTGCCTTCCCTGCCTCGAACATTGTACGGACATTCCAGGTGCCAAGTCTGGTGGTTCTTCTTGTCGACAGGAGGTTTCTCGGCTTGGTGGCTTCCTTTCGGCTTTCACCACCCAGCGTCATTCTACACTCCATATTCTCTTCTCTCCTCGGTGATGAAGGTCCTCCATCTTCCAGAACTGACAGTCGTATAGTTTTTGCTGTTGATGTTTTTGTAGCTGGTTTTTGTTTTACGGGAAAGGGCTGCTAACCCTTTGCCCAACCGACCTTAGTCGCCTTCTACGACATGCACGGTACGGATACAGTGGTCCTATTCTTTGCTCCCCTGTCTCTTGGACAGGGCCCCGAGAATCACACGGGAGTAAGTATAATATAGTGTGGTTTAACAATTGCAAGTTTTATGGAAACTTGACGATGTTAATTATATTTTTGGTTGCCGACCAGTAAATATATTGTATGAAAACTACCAACTCATCTCTCTCATCTAGATTTTGAAATGGCAACTCTATTAACTATGTACAAGAAAGTGCATTACATAATATGAGATCAAAGTAGCCATTATTGAGGTAGTCATCCAAAACAAAAAAAACACAAAAAAAACAAAAAAACTACTATCACGTTGAGATATTGATCCCCAATTCAGCTCTTTGTTATTATCCTAAAGGCATTTAGTTGTTAGTGTCTTACTCTTCCTGGATTCAAGCCCTAGCAGGACACTCTTAAGGGACACTAGGTAGGCCTACAGCTGAAGTGAACATTTTTGTTTGGTTTCTAAATTAAGTATACTGGGCTTCCCAATAACCAATATGGGTCAAGAAACAGAAACACAATACCCCTATATGATTTCACTGTCAATTTTCTGAATTCTTCAGATGCAAAGGGTTTGACAGACCAAAATTCGCGCAAATTCTGTACAAGGATTCTGAAAAAGAGTGAATTGCTACAGCCTAGATATTTTAACACAGTGTTTCTGTATACAACCAGCAACGTACTAGTAAAGATTTACTTTCCTAAGTCTCACACTTTTTTTGTAACTGCCCTTTTAGTGTCATATACGATACTCGGACAAAAAACTGATCACAAATCAGAGTGATACTCTCAATCGTTTTTACACTGACAGAAAGTTTATTACAATATAATCACAATAATCTTTTAGTACGTTGCAAACATATTATCTAGAAACAGTCATGCAAAGCGGGATTGAGCTGTGAAATGTACTTACAGAAATATCTCTGTACAGGTGACCCACCCCCCTAAGAAAATCATAGTTTTGAGAAAACTGAAAAAAAAAACAGAATTCATACTGGTCTCATCATCATCATCCAGTGCCAGATCTGCGACAGACATCGGCGATCATGGTTTTCCATTCATTCCTTTGCTCGGATGCTCTCAAAAAAGCAACGTTTCCCTATTCTTTCCCTGTTACCCATTTGTTTAGGTTCCCCAAGTATGTTGTTCTGGGCCTACCCCTGCCTCGCTTGCCCTCAATTTTGCCAGTGAGAGCTAGATGTTCAAGACCCTTATGTCTATTCAGGTGTCCCAAAAACTGCATTTGTCTTTTCCTGATTGTTTTTAAAATTGAGCGTCCCACGTGGGCTTCACCAAGCACTACCTCATTTGATTTCTTTTCCTTCCACGATACTCTTAGCAGTCTCCTAAGGAACCACATTTCTGCTGCTTCTATTTTATTTTCACTGTCTTTAGTGATTGTCCAGCATTCACAGCCATATAGAAGGGTTGACCAAACATAGCATTTCAGGACTTTCATTTTGGTGTTCATTGAGATGTTTCTATTTTTCAGGATTGAGCTCATTTAATTGAAACTAGCCTTAGCCATTGTAGTTCTCCTTTTTATTTCAGTGGAACATACTGGTCTAATTCAACAAAGTGTTCACAAACATGGCATCCGTGAGCACTTTATATGTTTTAGAGGCTTGAAAATATTTCCAATCGATAAAGCATTGCTCTACTAAAATAGTCCAAAATCGAAAAATCGGTGTTGGATACCAAAATCTAAAAATCGATTTTGGATACCAAAATCGACTTTTTCTGGCTGTCAGCTACTGCCGTGGTGTTCCTTAATCAGAGCTTGACAGTATTCATTGAGAGAAAGACAGAAAAATTTTGTTCTCAGCCTCAGTATTTTTTCTTTTCACTTATATCGAAAGCATAAGCATAAGCAAACTCGGTAACAGTCAGCATTGTTTATGCCATCACTAACAGCGAGCTGTCTGCAATCCTATCCCTGTAATGGGAGATGGTGAAGGGGCATACAATCAAAAGCAGAGCCATGAATCAAGACTTACTCACACAAAAACACGGTTCCTGAACGCATGGAGAGAGCTAACGTACACTGGGTAAAAAATTAAAACGTGAAAAAGACTGTAACACATTCTGCAAAAGCAGAACCTGTTAACCTACCTTTGAAGGCTTGTGACCAAAGAGCATCATTACTGCTACTTTAACATCATCATGGTTTAAGTAACCTTTCCTGCCTTCATCAGCTTCATTGTATGTCTGCAAAATAATTTTGAAAGAAAAAATATTTTTAAAATACATCAATTCCTCAAGTAAGATGGACAGAACAAGTTACCACTTGCAGAATTAAAACTTGACAGGTTCTAACTATGACAAGATCTAGATCTAGATCTAGATCTAGATCTATGTTTATCTTGAACCCAGTGACTGGTCCAGCCAGAGTCTAGATCTAGACCTTAGTAGATCCGTGCTTATCCCAAGCAAAAGTAGGCTATACTTTACTTCATGTCAGCTGATTTTCATCTTTAAAGCTCTTGAAAATTCAATGAGTAAAAATATACGATGAAGTCATAGTTATGATACTCATTATTCATAGCATGATCCCACACGCCCTGATAAGGGGGCGGGGGCCGGGGCGGGGGTGTTGGCCATTTGAATGGACGGCAAAGCAAAATCATTCTCAACTAGATCTAGATTCTAAATGGGGGGGGGGGGGGGGGGGGGGGGTGTGGAAAGGAATGCAAAGTATTTGCCTATCTTTTCTTAGGCCATAAGACTGCATGCATGCATTTTCATTTTATCCGAAAGCTTTAGTCTCTACAGCCACAAAACCACACAAAAAATAGCAGACCAGCCTTAGTGTAATGAACATTTCGTTCCGGTTGAAAAAATCTTACTTTTTATAGTTTTCTCATAACAACTTTTTGCTCAACGGTGTCAGCTATAAATTATGGCAATTTAAAACATTACCTTTAGTACTAGATGCATTTCCTTTGCCTGAAGAGATAGAACACTGGTATATGGAACATTCATTGAGTTATGACTTCCAAATTTTGACATTCCCCAAAACTTAGCACAAAAACGGTAACATCATCATTGACTTATTTCGATCAGCTTCGCCATTTTGAGATTCCATGGCCAAGCCCAAACCAAGACTGTGATTGGCCACTGTTTCCACGTGACTATAACGGGCAGATTCTATTCGTTAGAGTGATTAGTTGCAAATCCAATATGGCTTCTGTGTAGGTAGTTTATGCGAAGTTGCTCAGTAATAAAATATATTTACGGCTTTAAGTCACTAATAATGTCGTCGAGGTCCGCAAGAACAACTAGATTAAAGACTCGGAACCTGAGGAAGAGAGTTCAAACGAAATCGGCCTCATCAAGACATCGAAATGGAGGTTAGTGAAGATAGCAGTAGAAAAAAAGTTGATTCACCCCATCCTACGATCGTTGGCTGTGTTGGATTGGGCTTCATTACTACTCTTTGAGAGGGAATCATAATCATAGAGATCCTGTCGCGTTTAATATTACTGCTAGTCTAATAACAGTCGGCTTTTTTTATTGTGGTCATCTCTTATTGTCATCTACCCTCACTCACTCAATAAACATAAGATGAGATTAAGAATATCGATCATGTGTCTCCATGTATGACGGCACAGAAGTCTCTTGGCTTGGTCTTGGACGTCTTGGTGGGACTTTACTTCTTCCACTTGGGAGATTAAATTAGCAGGAGGCCTGCTAGATTCTAGATCTAGATCTACATATCTAATTAAATTAGTACGACTAGATCTAGATCTAGTATGGGTATGAGCTGCAAAGTTATAAAAGCCAAGATCAACCATGAGAATTTCTGTGTTTGACAACTTTTGATCAAAATGGTGCAAGTCGTCGGTGTCCAGTGTCAGGCCTGTGGCTGACTGGTGTGGGTGTGAGAATAATAAAGCAAGGTTGGGGGGTACCGGCAAAAAATATTTGCAAACAATAGGTGTAGATTCTAGATCTATTTTTACAAGTGTTAATCAACTTAATGGTGCAATTTGTTCTCCAAAGTGTATACAGACCCGGTAAACGGGAACAAAGTCACGAAGTATGCAGACCCGGTAGGGTAACTCTTTTGTGATTTCGGGAAGTTTCAGCCCCCAGACCCGGTAGAAATCGTGTGTGTGTGTGAGAGAGAGGGAGGGGTGCTAGCAAAATGTAATGACATGCCCCAGTTGGTAAGAGAGAACGAGAGAAAGATAGAGTGTGAAATATTTGTTGACAAAGAAAGACAGAGACAAACAAAGAAAAAGAGAAGGCGAACGATACAGAGAGAGAGAGAGGGGGGGTGACTGCTCGATTGAAATTATGACATTGTTCATGAGGAAAAACGATAATTCATCAAAAAGACATCCGCAATCTTCATTTAGATCTAGATCTAGGCTAGCCACGAAACTAGAACAAAGGCCACAGATCGAGAAGAACCTAGGTCTACCCTGAGCCAAGAGGGCGCAGAAACTCTCTGAAATCACAAAAGAGTTTCCCTACCGGGTCTGTATACTTTGTGACTTTGTTCCCGGTTACCAGGTCTGTATACACTCCCTTTATTCTCCTGACTACAACAATTTAAAAAATTATTGAAAATCAGACTATCTCTATATTTAATGACAGCTAGACTGCTAGGCTAGCCGTACTTAATTACGGCTAGATGGCTAGGCTAGCTGTAAGATGGCTAGACTGACAAACAGCAAAAAATAATAATAATAATTGCCTATAGCGCATATCCGTGCTCAAGAGCATGCTTTATGCGCTTTACAACCATTATTACCCCAGCAGACCCTCTGAAAACACTAAGAAACATTCTCGGCTTCCGCGGAAGCATACAGTGCAAGCTGCGGATTTCACGCGCTAAAACACTATCAAACTGACAAGATCGTTCACTGTCTATAGCCGGGTACCCATTTCCACCTGGGTGAAGTGAGGAAAGTTTGTGCAAAGTGCCCTTCCCAAGGACATAACGTTGGGCCCCTGACGGGATTCGAACCCTCAACCTTACGGTTGCGAGTCCGAGAGCCTAACCGCCAGGCCACCGACGCCTATTCACTTACTGAATTGTAAATAAATTTTTGGTTTGCAATACCTCCTAAAGTATTTTTGTATTTTAGATTAAACCATAAAAGGTGCCTTACTGACAGTGCATGTATTTGGAACCTGAATAATTACTAATGAGACCTGTGTACTCAATAGGTCCTAACCTAAGTACGGCTAGCCTGCCAGTCTAGCCATACTTAAGTATGGCTAGACTGCTAGGCTAACCGTACTTACCGGGCTGTACTTAAAAACGGCTAGACTGGCAGGCTGACGTACTTAATAATGATGGCGGAATTGTAAATAAAATTTTAGTTTGCAATACCTAAAGTAGTTTTGTATTTCAGACGAATCTAAAATGTGTCTTCCTGGCATGAATGTACAGTCGAACCTGTGTAAGATGGAATTGCAAGGGATCCAGAAAAAAATTCCGTCTTAGACAGGGGAATTTAGGGGAAGATGAAGTTTTGGGGTTGGGGGGGTTCAAAGGCCCATCCCGTGGGATCAAGGATCGCTTGTCCGATCGGTAAGCAGTGGTCAAAACTTCACGCCTTTCAATTGGTATCCTGTCTGATAATGACATGCGTCAGTCTTACTTATCCCATTTCCACCAGTGCTTGCTTTTCAAAGGACCACTGTTTGACCTATTAAAAACAAATGTTTGAACATCTCCTTTGCTGCCACCCTTGGCCCCACCCACCAAATTTCTGTGGTGGCTGGCTACTCGAGCACTCTCACAGGCAGTCGTGAGATTTCACACCTGCACTACGCTGACCATCTGCATTGCTCAGGGCTCACATGATGGGGTAACATCTACCCCCAAGATTTTTTTCAAATCAGGGCTGATCGGGCAAAGCATTTTCCGTCTTAGACAGGTGAAACTCTCCGAAGGGAACAGATTTTGCTTTCCGTTTCCGCGTTAGACAGGTTCCGTTTTATACAGGTAATTAAAGAGGAATATAAAGCATTACCACATGATGCCCTGTGCCAGCAGTGCGTAAACGAAGTGGATTCACCTTAGCCAATGGTAATGCCGAAAACATGCTAATTTATAGCACATTTTTAGGTCAGCCCCATGTATATGCTGGTGTATATCTTCATTTCGTCCGTTTACAAATCGAGTGAAAAAGATTTTTAAAAGTTACAAGGTGGTTACTTCATGGATTTATTTTTTCAAAGTGCATATATTCGTTCACTGTGTGGCATTTACCTGCATCATCGCAGATAGGCTAAACTTTATGATATAAGAAACTAGTTTGGAAAATTTGTCATAAAATGATCACATTAAAAAAAAAAAACCGACGTTCCCGTTTTTCGCTTGGCTTGAAGGCCAGAAAGGGAAACACTGCCACATACGGTAAACACTAGCCACCAGCTCTCTGTGATGTCACAACTGCGTAAAGCGTAGCTGCTTAATAGATAGTTATTTTAATCGGCCTGAATACTAAGGGGAAACATCGTACTCATGGAGTAAGACGTAATGAATGTTTCTTTCAATTTGCCGCCACAAATAATTTGGCTTAATTCAGGTTTTACACAAATTTAGTGCTGGACTTTTAATATAAAACTGCATATTATTTCCTCATAGTAATAACAGTATTTTTAGCAGGATCAGAATGGTGATTACATAGATAGATTTCCATAGATTTTTATCATGCATACTTTGTAGGCCTACTTACACATAATAGCAAAGCCATGTTTGTTTGTTTTGTAATTGAAATGTGCACTGTGAATTAGTTATTTGCATAACATTATCTGGGTGCTGAGATTACAATTTTAATTGTTTTGTTTGCAATTTCGTTGCTGTAAAAAACATATTTCCAATTGCTAGCTCATTCTGTCGATAAGTAATACCTTAGTGTTCAATATTTGGGTTCCTTTTCAGTTCTTTACCCTCAATAGGAATTTTCTACAAAATACTCACAATTTTTTACATGCACACAGCCATTATAATGTATTATGGATTTTCAAAAAATATGAAGCATTTTGCTTCAGAAATAATGATCTGTTCAACTGTTTTGTTATAATTGTTAATAGTATAGTAGTAATATATCTTTAAAAAATTTGTGGTAATTCTAAATATGGCCACCAGAACACATAGCTTTAAAGATAAATGTAGAGTATCCAATATGGTTGCCAAAATGGAAAGAACTTGTAATAATAATTATAGAAACTAAAGTATGTCACAAATTGAAGCAGCCCACCTCCTAAATGACGTGAATTGTTCCATGAAAATCTTCGTAGTGCCAGTATGTTCTACAAGCCTTGCAATGGCCAATCAATCTGTGGTGTAATCGAGCGGCCCTTTTCTGTTGAAGGCAAACGGCATACGTTTTATTTCTAAAAGCCTCTTTCATGTGAGACAGTGCTTCCTACTCAGCTCTAGTTGAAGCTATATTTCAGCAAGGGAGGTGTGATGTGGGGGTCTCGTTTATCTCCAGAACTGAAACTCTTAATTGGGAACTCTCGTTACAGATCTTTTCTTGAGAACCATGTATGGACAGTTTATACTTAAATGTTGGCTTTTTTTTTTTTTCCAATAACATGAAATTATGTGTATCACCTGATATATGGTCGTTTTTAAGCTCAAGGAGGCTATCACGAAAAGTGCTGTTTTGAGAAAATTGAAAGTAAAGATTTTGGTTTGAAAGACTAGGAGAGTTTTCTCTATAAACCAAACAAATGTACACACACCAATGAAACCAAACTTCTCCTATAGCTTGGGCAATGCACACTCTTGGTGTAGGTCAAGATTTCCGGAAACCTACAAAATCTGGGTTAGCCCGCTTGTCCTTTAAGCGACCATTTGTATGTTTGTTACCTCTGGGGGGGGGGGGGTTGTTTTGTTTTTCCACCAGTAAAACTTGAAAAGAATAGCTATTTAAATGGTTATACTTACATTCTTTCTTTTCCCATTTGCTACATTTCCCGATCTAAGATGTTCAAAGCAAATTGTCTGTTCCTAGTGTTATATTTATAAGTAAAAGAACAAATTACTTTCGTATCATGTCCTTTTGTGATTGTTCCATTTCATGTAATTGTTCATCTGTGTCAAAACTCTTCATCCTCTCGCTTTTATCTACTAAATCTGAATCTGTCTTCATGGGAAAATGTCTTAAATTAAAGTTTCACCTGTGTTGCAGTTGAAGGGAACTGTCCAAAAAAATAATTTTTCAAACTGTCTTTGTTCCTTCACAGAGAGTTCCATGGATGCAACTTTTTGCAGTGAAGACAGTTGCAGCAGATATTACTTACGGAGGAGGTCACACAGTGCTGATGGTTCCTCAGGCAATTCTGTATCACTATCAGATTTATCACATCAGCCGATGCGGAAAAAGAAAAAGAAGTCCAATATAAATCCTGCTTTACAGCCTCAAGGTATGGGTGGGGAACACAGCCCCTGTGCATATCTGCATTTTGTCGCGGTCATAAAATATTTTTCCCCAAGTCATTTGTATCTATAGATGTTGACATGGTAAAAATAAAGTTTTCTCCAAACAACCCAGCACAACTAAGGCAATTGGGTATTGACTGTGACGGTACATATGACATATTTGCCATTCTCATTCTTAACTTGGTAGTTCTCTTGGACAGTGTCATTATAATTTAGGGGGGAAAAAACAGAAGGGGTGGGGTGGGAAGTGTTCATTTGTGCAATTGATTGTTTTGGATTAGTGGTCATTAGAGCAGGGTTGGCTTTTGAAAAAAGAACGTCGGCTTTGTGTCCTCGAGGGCAAATGTCCATACACATTGCTCATAGTACTTACCACATTGCTTGTCTTTCAATTACAAGCATGCCACTGCTGTTGGTCACCAATTCGAGAACCTTTTAATCTAGGCTTATAAAATTTATTGCCACAGTGGTTCTACTGAATACTGTTGTCTCTGATATTGCTTGACACAGTGTTGGAACCTGTGCCCATTGAGCTCTTGCTAACAACCCCTACAGTGTTATAACAGTTGTGAGCGCTTTCAGTTCATTGTTGAAAGTTTTGTAGGTACTGTGGGAAAATTAAACAGTTAATGATGTTTTGTCGTGTTCTCAGGCCGTGTTGCTGCAAGGTACCTGCAGCATGAACTGCCAGATGAAGTGATGTTCTACATATTCTCATTCCTTAAAGAGTTAGACCTATGTAATGCTGCTCAAGTTTGTCGGAGGTTTCGCTCCATAACGAACGACCATGAATTATGGTATGTATTTCTTTTCCAGTGGTCGTTTTCTTTTCAGTAAATGTCTCTTTGTCTAATCATGCAAACATTGTAATAATAATTGCAGCTTTATATAGTATATGTTCCATGCTCTGCAGCATGCTCTATGTGCGTTACAACTGTTATTTCCCCCAGCAAACCCTTGAAAATGATTCAGAATATTCTCAGCATTCCGCATATGCAAAAACACGAACAAATTGATAAGATTTTTCACTGTCTATTGCTTGTTGCCCATTCTCACCAGGGTGAGGGGAGAAAAATTCACACAAAATCCCTTTCCCAAGGACACACTATCAGGCCCCTGATGGAATTTTGTAGCAATGCCAATGAAAATTTAAATTTTCACTTTTGCCCCCTTTTTTTTGGTACCTAAGAAAGAATTTTCAATTCTGATAATTATGCTTCTTGAATTTTGAGAATCGGTTCATAAATAAAAAAGTTATGGGGTTGTAAAGGTCGGCAAAATATGGATGACCCACATATAGGAAAATACTCCTAAAAAGTGGACCACGCAGTAGCAGATTCTGTAAGAAAATCGACGATATCTCGGTAACTAATCCAAATGTTCGAGAGAAACTTGGCTACCCGATGTGTTTTTGAGTGTAGAAATCATTTCTGCAGTCAGATTTATTACCAATTTCGTAGTTATTTTGTTATAATTAAAATTGTGGTGTACATATTACGATTTTGCGAAAAAGGGGTGTCGGGATGAGTCTATTTTATTTATAGCATCGTATCACAACATGGGATCTTTAAGAATATATGTCGGCAGCGTGACTAAATAATTGCAAAGCTTTTTATGATGACTTTAGACCATGCCAACCGTAAAAGATAAGTTAATTCAATCTAGCATGCCGTACAATTAAAAATTCTTTTTTCCCGTTGAGACGCGAACACCCCGAGACGAGATAACCTCGCCTCGGAATACCCCCTTGCGATGTTACAGGGGAATAGAGAGAAAAACAACCGGATGCGCGCGCCCGCCATTGCCCTATTTCAAGTGACCAATGAACGGGCCCGGAATAGTCATGCGGGGATTTGTAGGTCACAGACATTTGCCACGGGAGTGAGGGGAAAATGGCCGGTCTCCATGCGAAGCCGCTTTGGATAGGGGGGTAGTCGTAGATTTACGATCGGGTCTAAACAACTACTTGACACAGAACTCTCAAATTTGACCACACTATAGAGGATAGATAGATCTATTACCATCTGGGCGTTGAAATTCAAACTCCTTATAGTTTTCGGTGTACACGATACGAAAGTGTTCCCGACACCAAAAGTATAGGTTAATTTATGTGTACGAACTTCAACGTCCACATATCATTAGTTTGCCCTATTTTCTGATTGGTAGCCGAGTTTCATTCGGATTGGTTCGGAAATAGAGCAGACCGAGGTTGACAAAGTTAGTCACCTACGCTTCGGCCGGGTCCGCAAAATCGCCCGTAAACGGGGACCAAATTTTCGCCTCGCGGGAAAGCCCGATTGGCATTGCTAAATTTTGAGCCCCTGGTCTTTTATTGGAGAGTCAAAAGGTCTTTCTATTTTGTTGTCCTTCATTTATTCCTTTATCGATTCTTGTTTGTTTCACTGGTTGTGCAACAGATATTGTTGTCCCGTGAGGTTCTCTATCCAAATTATGTTCTTAAACAACATGTCTGTGGGATTATTACTTATTGTCTTTGCTAATCTCTGATGAATGTGTTCCATTCTATGCAGGAAAGTGCTGTATATGGAAGTCTTTGAATATGAGTCGCCGTTAATGAATCCAGAACCACGAGTATTCCAGTTTGTTTCACCTGATGACCCAAATTACGATAATCCATGGAAAGAAAGTTTCAAGCAATTGGTATGTGGCTTATTGTGGACATTTTTTTCTTCTGAGATTAAAGACACGGTGATTCCCTCAAATTTTAGTGTGCTATAGATTTTAACGTAAATTGATAGCGAATTATTGCGTAAATCCTTCGAGTGAAAGTTTTGGTTCTTTTTTTTCTCTGTCCTTGTGATATGTTTTGATTTTAAGTTGGTCAGTCATATTTGTTAAAGAAATTTTCAAATTCTGAATAATGCAGTTTTTTTGTAATGTGATAGTGACCATGTGTAAGTCACATGTAAGTTACGGTTAAAATTTAAAAAACAAATAAGCTGTGAGGAAAATTTGATGAGGTATGCCTGTATTGATAATAAGCCCACTGATAGAGCCTGTTCAAGAATAATTACGATGTGACAGCTCATGAAATTTTGATCACATTGTATGTTTCGAACTGAAATAATTGTAATCTCTTGATGTTGGGTTTTTTTCCAGTATCGAGGTATTCATGTTTCCAAAAATGATCTTCCACTTGTTGAGACCGTCAAGGGCAAACGCATCAAGGGTAGAAATCTTATCGTAAGTATTTTATTCGACCGCTGACATCTGTTGATGACCTTAAGATGTCTGGAAATTTTGCAGCTGTTGCTTGGTATCGGTGGAAAATCTGTTGGTCACCCTTAGGTACTAATTTCAAAGATTTTGCAATTTTTGAAAGTTGATTCTCTCCCTGAAAACCTAAGAATTGTGGTCTTTTTGCACATGACACATTTATTATTTTCAGCATGATCCTCAAAAATACTTTGAAAATTATTTGAACTTTACGTAAACGTCGACTAGATAGAGTGGTCAAGAAAATGATTTGTCAAACTGGTTGAAGTTCAGGATTGACTTTTTTCAGGTACTTTATGCTCTAGCTCATAGCAATGGTATATGTTTGGTTAATATACATGTCGTAATTCTACAGGAGAATGTACTATCATAAAAAATTTGTGTGTGCTCTTTGATTTTTCTGTTTGAAGAAAGCATCATGATTTATGACTGTTTTGGGGGTTTTGTTGACAGGTTTGATGGTAGCCTACTGGTCTCAACTATAAATATACACACCGGCAGAGCAGGATTGTTTTATATTTGCGTTACAGTAAATTTTTTATCCTTTTCCTCACAATTCTGTCATTTATGACCATTTTTTCCCCCCAGAAATTTGACACGATCGAGTCGGCCTACAACTTTGCAGACACAGAGGAAATAGAAGACCCTCTTATATTTGTGCACACTGGTACTTATCGGTCAGAGTTTCTCTTGATAGATTCACAAGTGTCCCTGATTGGTGCATGTAAGTAGAACCCGCAATTTTCTGTCTTTGTTTTATATGCCAAAAATATTTCATGATGTACCCATGTTCTACCGTTTGAAGTTTCTTTTTCATTGTTTTAATGTGAACTTTGTGTTCTTGTTATATTTTTGTTTTAAATCAGAAGAGTTGTCACAAGGGTCTCTGCATACATGCTATGTAGTGGTTGCTGTTGAACCTTTTAGAGAAGAAACATCTGAGGGCAAGGTCAATTATAAGTGTACATTGCTATTTGATTAGATTGACCATCAGCTTCAGCTGTTTTACAGTGGTATTTATTTCATTATAATAGCTTCTTGAATTCAGTTTCTATCAGGTTGTATATGACTTATTGTATGTTACATGAAAATTCACTTTTCTATTTGGGTTTATTTTCAATATTTGTGGGACTTGTCAGAAATGGCATGGAAGTTCATGTTTGTGTGTCATTGTGGTGAAATCAGGCACTCATGAAAATAATGAAATTGAAGAAACTGATGTTTTACTGCTATTTGGCAAAATTTATCGATTTTTTCCCCTTAGCTCAGCGCTTTTTGTGTCAATTTAAGAACACATTTATATGTTGATTTTACTGAGAAAATCTTGATAAGGAGCACAAAAAAATGAAAAATTTGCAGTTTCCAAGGACACTCAAACTTTAAAAATCATCAAGCTTTGCTGGCCATCTTCAGTGCGTTCAATTTTCCATATTTTTATGGAAATCCATACCGTCTGAAAGTTCCGTACTTGCACTCCCATCGTCTCCCCCCATAATAATCAACTCCATCCTTTATAAGTACTTTAGTATAGGGCTATCAATATTCTATAGCAAATGACCGGTACTAGCCTACGTATTGCCTCATAAGTGCTGGATATTTATGGTGCTTCTTGGCAAAATTAACATGTATATCAGAAAACTATCACGTTGTGCATTTCCTGCACTGGGCTATTATCTCTCGGCGCATTCATTGTGGGCTAGTCGGCAATGCATTTTCACCCACCACAATCATAAAATTTTTGTGCCGATGTCCTCCCTACTTTCATTCACTCATTCTTTCTGACTGTCTACGGGTCTTTGCTGCAGCTGGAAAATGTTTTTTAATTTTAAGGAAATTAAATTGTGATTTTAGAAAGAAACAGGCTCCCAAGTGCCATTTTCAAACCTCTAAAATTCTCTAAATTTCAATTTCTTCAGGGGGTTGGCAGGTCTGTAATAGAGTATTTTACTTCGGTGTTCAAGTGAATTTTGCAGTGAAACATAAAATTTACCTGGCTTGTCTGATCCTTATTTTTGCAGTTAATTTTGAATATGTTTTTTTTTATATTCCAGCTGGAGGAAATGTGGAGGACAATGTGATAATAGAACGAGACACAGAATCAACAATTATGTTTGTGGAGGGTGCAAGAAGAGCTTATCTTGGATACATGACTTTGAGGGTATTGTATTTTATCTTCATTTCTTTGATCATAACGTTTTGAGAATTAATTATGTTTTATATTTGGTAGTGCTGTTTATTGTGTGTTAAGTCTTTTTCTTTTGGGGAGAAAAAAATGATCATACTTATGTTCCTCTTATTTTGAGACTATTGTTAATGTGAGTTAGTGAGACTTTAAACAGCAAGTGCGAAGTACAAACAAGTATGACTTTTATCCTATGTTTCTAATATAGGTTCTGATTTTCTGGATAAATCAGGAAATCCTGCTTATACTTTTCTTTATATTTTAGTCTCTCTGTGCATATCGTATTGCACATTATAAAAAGAAATAGTCTTGATACAAGATTTAGTAGACTATTGGATTTAAAAAATTTGAGTTCATGCACACATCTGTAAAGTTCTGGATTTTGTTTTGTAGCCAGGTGGCACCTCTGTTCTATCCACAGTTTTGTCCAGATTCTGCATCAGCGGTCCCCCACCACCGACACTACGCTCTAGAGGTGGCTGAGAACACTCAACCTGTTATTGATCATTGTAAAATAAAAAGCTTGTCTGTGGGTGAGTAGACCAAAATCTTGGTGTTCCCTTGTACATTCCACAGAGAAAGAAAAATAATTATGTCGGTTGCTTGTGCAGATGTTGGCTCTATTTGACAATGTTGCACAATGAATTCTTTGTCCGTCCTGTTCAAGTAGTGGTTAGTTTGATAGTAGTGGACTGGCTTTATTGCTGGGCATGTTTTTCTCTTGGTCTGTCTTCCTTCTTCACTTCTATTGCTATTTGTGGACTTTCTAAGGCTCAAGATTGGTCTGTTAGATCCTCATGCAGGTTGGCTGCAAAGATATGACTCCGTTTTTGCCGGTCGCGATTGTGATATATTCGTTCACCTTTTCCCCGTCCGAGAGTTCGTTTCACGCGAAAAGGCGGCTATGGCGGCAGGTGGAAGTGTATGTGACACCGAGGCTGGATCGTGTAAATCAAGATCTACTTCCGCTTTCATTACCATTCGGAAATTTGCCGGCAATAGACTGATAACGCAACATTTGTGACATGCAGGTTGTACAGTATAACGCTGTGCAAATAAAATTTAATCATTTCTCGGATTCCACGTTTGGACTTCTCTGATGACGTCCACCCCTTGTCGCTTATATGACCTATGCAGTTGCGAGCGCCGTAAAAACCTTACTAAAACTAAATCTAGCAGCGAGCAAGCTTGCGATCGTCTCTCTGTCCTCCATTTTTGTCGACTGGACTTTGTTGTGTGTTGTATTCGTTCCATATATTATGTAATAATAATGTATGTTATTGAAGGCACAAATGAACTCCCTTTTTCGAGCTGGTGTGGGTCTTGATTTGCTGGGTAGTAATTTTTTTTTCCAGGTAGTAAATTTGTTCAGGAAATGTTGCTGGACACCCTGACTCGGCCTCACAAATTATGTCAAGCAAAGTCTGTGACATTGCATAACGTTTGTCGCTGAGTGTGTTCTTGAGCAAGACAGCTGAAACCCTAGCTATAGAAAATAAAGGGCTGCGCTCTGATGACCAGCAATGACATGTTTGTATTGCCTGTATTCAAATATTGTTTTCTATCTGATATTGTTGTAACTTTTTAATTGATTTAAATAAGCATTGTCCTGCCATTGTAACCCTTGTTCCTGGGTAGTTGTCAGGTGCTCTGGTGTGGTTTGCTCCTCTTTTCCTATCAAACATTTTATCTTCCTTATTTCTTCTCCTTCATTTTTGTGTTTGTTACTCTCTTGTAATACAGTAGTCTCCGCCTAAGATCCCGGTGCTCGGGAGCAAGGAAAAGCGGGATCTTAGGCGAACCGGGATCTTAACCGACGAACCCAGGGAAGAATCTATGGTGACCCATGTTACGGCTTACAATCGGTAAAATGGTCTCCCTCCACTCTAAAATGAACTGACGTGACCGCTTGGTGGGTTTATGACATATGGCGAGCAAAGAGTGGTTAACCTTGATGACCTATCACAGGGCATAGTGGAATGAGGCGTGCCATTTTCACTTATTATCCTATTATGAGGCTCAAGATCTACGCTTATCAAGTTGCCCCTCCCCTCCCCCTTACCTGTCGAAAATTTATAGCTTTCCATCTCCCCCAACCGCCTTTGTCGTTACACACCATTACGTTGTGAAGACACCAATTAAAATTCAGTCTGTCTCGCAAATTCGGGAGTAGAAACAACTTCTTCAATGGTCAGGGAAGAGTTCACAGTTCAATGTTATCCCGCCAGGAGCGAACGTGTAGGCCCTACCCACCCAGCGAGTAATGTAAGTTTAGGGGGATAGCTCAGGTGTGAGTGAGATGTTCGGGGAAAACAAACGTGTCGGTCAGTTCACACCACGGTGTAATCCCGTCTGGGGCAAACATTGTATCGCTTCATCGAGTTTTACAACGTGTATGTGATCACATTCACGATAGTAGCTGATCTTTGATGCGACGGACAGTTTATTGATCTCAAATGTTCCCTCTTGGTTGATCGGCTGTCCCGCCCGCGGTTTTTTTCCGCAAATTATGATCTGAAATGTGGGATCTTAGCCGAATGTAGACCCTCAGAGTGAATCAGAGCGGGATCTTAGGGGTGACTTTTGTATAGTAAAAATTCTGTTTTCTTAAATCAGCGGGATCTTAAGCGAACCGGGATCGTAAGCGGTGGGATCTTAGGCGGAGACTACTGTACCTCTAATCTTATATAACCTAATTGTGTTGCAAGTGGCGTAAAACTCTTACCCAAACAAAATATCCCTTGTTCTCCTTTGGGGAACAATGAAAGTGATATTTTTCTTTAACAGACTTAACTCCAAAGCTTTTCAGTTTGTGTACCCTTTGGTTTTTAGGAGCTGACATGATATTTTGTTTCTTTTCTGTTACCCCAGTTGGTGCTGCTGTATGTGTGTCAGGGCAGAATGCAGACCCCACTATCATGAACTGCTCCATCAGAGACTGTGAAAATGTCGGTCTTTATGTCACAGACAAAGCTGAGGTGAGTACTTCCAAATGCTTCAGTTCTGCTAACACAATGCTACGGTCGAAATTATAACAAAGATAAACTAAGTTTAGTTTTAGTAGAGGTTTTACGGAAAGCTAAACTGAAAAGACTATTCTGTTTATGCTCATGTCGCACTATGCACTTCATTTCATTCAAGTGTCAGGGGTAGCTGGATTCATGGAGCAAGTTAGATATGATTTTTTCATTGTGTTTTTGTTATTTCTGACTGGCAGCAGTAAAGTGATTTTTTTACCTGTTACTGTACAAGGCGGGGAATCTATAACAAGAAACCTGTTTTTGTTGTACTTGTCAGGGAGTATATGACATTAAATCTGTGTTTTGTTGTTATGCTCACCAGGGAGTGTATGAGAACAATGAGATCAGTGGCAATGCTTTGGCTGGCATATGGGTCAAGAACGGGGCCAACCCTATCATGAGGAATAATCACATCCATCATGGCCGTGATGTCGGAGTGTTTACCTTTGATAATGGACTGGTGAGTAACCAAAGCCGTCATTGGCTAGCTCTTTTATGGTTTTAATTGGTAACATAAGTTGGGCTGTCTAGGGTGTTTGTAGCTTGATTTTTGTATAACTTACAGACATATTCAATCCAGCAGTGAGGGACAAAGAAAATATTTTATAAAGAAGCCCCTGGCCAACTGCCTATTAAAACATTTTTTAACCCAATTGGAAATGCAGTCCAGTATGTTGCCTTAAAAAAGATGCGTTTGTGTTCATCAATACAGTCATTTCTATATCTAGTCTTTGATCGTTCATGATGTGCACAACTTTGTCATGCCATATTAACTCAACATGTTCTGTTGCGAAACATCATGATACACTGTGTTGCATACACACATGACATTGAGTTATTGCTTTGTAGTCTTCTCCATTATGATACTGTGGGTAATAGTAATGGTATTGGAATGTTTCTTTTATTTCCTTCAGGGATATTTTGACAACTGTGATATTCATGACAACCGCATCGCTGGCTTCGAAGTGAAAGCAGGGGCCAACCCGACGGTCATTCACTGTGAGGTCCACCATGGACAGACAGGCGGCATTTATGTACATGAAAATGGAAGAGGCCAGTTTATTGAGAACAAAATACATTCAAACAACTTTGCCGGAGTTTGGATAACATCGAACAGTGACCCCACAATCAGGTAAGTGCCTTGTGTTGTACCTATCATGGGTCTTATTGTCATAGTCAGCTTCTGATTTGCAAAGGATCATGGGTCCATTTTGTTTTATTATTGAAGTTTCTTTTTTGAAAATTCCTGTACTGAGCATGGCATGTATGTTTTGTAGACATCAGTGCTAGAAGCAGTCTTGGCTGATTAGTGCTCTTCTTGCTTCTGTGTGAAATTAAAGGCGGTGAAGCAGCTAATAGCTTTTCAGTGGGGAACTACCCTGAAAATATAAACATTTTAAAGTTTTTGTTTAATTATTTCAAAATTGTCCTAAACGGCACAAAATTCCAGTTCAAATTATTAAACAATTTCATACCTGTTTTTGGTCCCCTTTATGTCTGTACTAACAATTGTGGTGCATCTAACTTCAGGAAAAATGAAATCTACAATGGTCAGCAAGGAGGAGTGTATATATTTGGAGATGGGAGAGGATTGATAGAGCACAATAATATATATGGTGAGTTGATCCTGTATTTTGTCCAGTCTTAACTTTTGGGATAGTGCGACAAATAGAATTGGTCAATATACAGAGGGGCCTTTTGTTTGTACCAATTTTCGCTACTGAAGGGGCCGTTTGATTGTATTCTCAAAAGCCTAATCTGAAGTCAAAAAGTACACCTCCAGTCTGTGGGAGAGCCACTGGAAAAAAACTAGACGGGTAACAAACTCCACAATATTAAACCTAAACTGGGACTGCGAAATCCTTCGGACCTCTCCAGAAGAGACGAAGTCATATTTACTCGATTACGCATCGGACACACGGCCTTAACACACAAATACCTCCTTCAGGGAGATGAAAAGCCATTCTATGTTGGATGCGACACAGATTTTACCATTAGACACCGAATGTCTAGACTTCGGAGAGATCCAAAGGAAATACTTTTAATTGCAAAAAAATTGCAAGACATTTTTTCCGTCGTTGATCCTTACAGAATTTTGGATTTTATGAAGGCCATTGGCCTTTATGGAAAATTATGAATTTTTAAATGTCATTTAGAAAGTTGTTTTAAATTTAAATTTAAATCTAAAATATATACTCGACTTTTAGCATTATAATTTTTTTTTATAGCAATATTGACCAGTACCAGACCAAGAAATAAACTGTTGAGAAAAAAAAAAAACTTGTTTCGCGCGCTCATATGACCGTATGCAGTTGCGAACGCCGTAAAACCCCATACTAAACTAAAAGCCTAATCTTGTCTTCATCCGCTTTTTGGACCTATGAAGAATGTATCACTACTCACTTACCCACAGTGGGTAGGGGATGGTAACAATAAGGTAAACCCATGTACACTCCCTTATAGTGATGTCATACGCTGGAGCATCTGAGTTCATATCTGTATGCTGGTGGCTGGCAGAAACTCTGTTGTGGTTTGCTCCTTCTTTTCTATCAAATATCTATCGTCCTTATCTCTCCTCCTTTCTTGTGTTTGTTACTCTCTTGCAACACTTCTAAATCTACGGCACTTATATGACCTAATTGTGTTGTGAGTGCCATAAAACACTTACTAGAACAAATTCATATCTGTATGTTGGATATTTACTTTGATGTAAGTCGGACCCTTCTGGCCATCCTTATTATTGGGCAAAGGGCTCCACTTTTGGAATTAACCATCTGTGTGTAAGTAGGGCATTATAAACACCAAAAAACAATAGTTATTACACACCCGTCTTTCTAATGTAACTTGCATATTCTTTGTCATAGTTCTTGAGATGACAACATCTGCTTGTTTTTCTCTCTTTCAGGCAATGCACTAGCAGGCATACAAATAAGAACCAATAGCAACCCGATTGTGAGGCACAACAAAATACATCATGGTCAACACGGCGGCATCTATGTGGTAATTTACTATCTTGTAGTAACCTTACTACTATTTGTAGTGATTCTCTTATCTCGTTTAGAGTGGTTGATTTGTGCTGGCTAATGTATTTCTGGGCTTATTTGTGCTTCGTTAATTCTTTTCCCATGTGAATTAATAGACCATGAATGGATTTGCTTATATTTTTCATTGTTCCATTTCGTTATAGATGAGAGTTATTTAAATATCTTCAAGTTACCTACTTAAGGTCACAGTGGATAACAAATGCTAGCAGAGAAAACAGTACACAAACTGGCAGTAGGCAAAAAGAACCCATTTCTGTTATCTCCAAAGAAAAGTGGTGGAAAGCAAAAGCTCTCACTGGAAAAGGGAAAGGCAAATGAGACAGGTAGACCCGGCGCAACTTACTTGGAAAACCTGATCAGATAAGTGATGGAGAAAGACCAGGATAAATATATTTTTGAGAGCATGGAAGCAAAGAAATGTATGGCAGACCACGATTGCTGATATTGGTTTCAGATCTGACACCTATTGGAAAATGTTACGATATATCATTATACAGCTTTTGAGTGTTGCATTTCATGTTTTCCAACTCAGCATGAAAAGGGAAAAGGCCTGATAGAGGAGAATGAGGTGTACTCCAATACTTTGGCGGGAGTGTGGATCACCACAGGGAGTACACCTGTACTCAGGAGGAACAGAATACACAGCGGGAAACAGGTGAGTCTAAGATTTGTATTGTTATAAGCTAGTTTTTCTTTTTTTTCGTGTCGACCTACCTGTAATTTTGTCTCCTTTCTGTTCTTTGTTATTATGCTTTTCTGTAAGTGTGTCTTTCTCTTCTACCTTCCTATCTCTACCTTTGTCTCCTCTGGATGGAATGATGTGGTAAAATACAGGTAAGGGATAGGGTGTTTCAGTTGTTTTTGTGTTGGGGGGGGGGGGGATTTTTTTTTGTAAAGATGAAAAATCAGGTATTTGTTGAGCTCTTTACTTCATTCTTCTCTTGAAGAAATTTCAACCAGATTTTGAAAGAAAGTTTTTTACCTTTTCTTACAGCAAACTGTTTTGTATGAGGGTTTTTTTTTTATGTGAGATAAACTTCTGCTACTTAGCAATGACCACGAAAATCCGTTTTTTGCCAGAAAATGTTTGCAAATATGTGCATTTTGTAGCTTTATCTTCACTGAGCATAGAACTTTTTGAATTTTTTAAATCCATCAATAAACAAAAAAGATACGGATTTTTTAATCAATTAATTTCTGGTACACTTTTATATAATGAAAAAAACCCAAAATATGGGACGTTCTTTGGTGAGTTTTGAGACAATATTCGTCATAACTCGCTCATTTCTCTGAGTATTTAAAAGAAACTTGGCAACCCAGTACATTTTCTAGTGCAGAATCTAGTCCTGCTTTCAGATTTTTCATAGCTATCCTATTTTTTGAGTTATGAAGATGTTTATAGGTAAAAATGTTGGCCTTTTTCGGTGCGTTTTGAGACAATATTTGTCATAGCTCGCCTATTTCTTGGAATATGTAAATGAAACTTGGCAGTCTAGTACATTTTTTAATGCAGAATCTAGTCATGCAGTCAGATTTTTAATATATGTCATACTTTTTGAGTTGTAAAGACATTAACAGGTAAAAAAGTGGCGTTCTTTACAGATTTACAAAGATTATCAGTCATATGTTCTCCCAAAGTCATGATATTTGAATGAAACTTGGCAACATAAAAGGTTCTTCCTTGCCAAGCAATATTCTGGATCAATTTGTCACAAAAATGTAAGTAGAGAGCTACTAATAAATCCAGTTTTGTACTAGTAAAAGCATGCATACTTTGTTATAGAAAATAAGATCGTCTCTGTGTATATCCATTGTTGGACAGTGTCCTATTGTGTGGTAGATTAAGATGCGTTCAGATAATATAGTTTACAAGTCATGGGAATATTTCGCATGTGTAGGCTACAACTCATACAATAAATGTAACATATTTACAACCCCCCCCCCCCCCTTCTCTCTCTCTCTCTCTCTCTCTCTCTCTCTCTCTCTCTCTCTCTCTCTCTCTCTCTCTCTCTCTCTCTCTCTCTCTCACACGCGCACACACATGCACGCGCGCACACTCACGCACGCACGCGTGAACGATAACAATGTATAAACGGGACTATCTTCCCAGACTGGACTAAATAAGTACCATACTCTTTAATAACAATCTTAATGCCTCACTTTTCCCAAACAGAGCACACAGGACGAGTCCAAGTGTGTGCTTTCCCAAGAGGGGGGAATAGGCTTTCATAACGCAAACACAATGCCATACCACTTCTCAAGATGTTTGCTTTTCTGTTTCTATTCTTCTGTCATGCAATCAAGCAAATAAAAATGACTACATCTATTGTATTGTGACTAAAATGCAACAAAAACGCAAGTTATCAAGGCCCCCGTTTAGTTTTCAAGTATCCTTCCCCCCCTTTCCGGTTCACATAAGAGGGGCCTCGTTTGTAGCGACCGATGGCTGATGACGTCACTCAGTGGAAATTTCCACGCCGCCGGCCGTTCACCCAGAACGCGCAAATGGCAATGTCGCTTTTTTCCCTAGTTACTCCCACATTTTTAAAGATTACGCCAAAACCGCTATACACAGAAGCATGAAATTTTAAGGGAATAAAGAAAAATGGTGTACAACGTATCAGTCAGTTTGACAAATCACAGCTCCGAAAAACCTTCAAAGCGCACCACATCAACCACTTTCGCAAACGTTTTCGACTGCTTCTAGGATGGGTACAATGTTGTCAAATTGCATACTACGAGATTGACCTCTTTTCTGATTGGCTGCCAAGTTTCATTCATATCCATTCAAGAGAAGCGGCGTGAGAGCGAGTTAAAGACAACAACCTTTGCGTTAGTGCGTCCCACGAAACACCCCCGCGGCGGGGGCCAAAAATCGGCAGAACAAAATGCGCTCGGTGGGCATTGCTATGCTACTGGTAGCTTTTCTAGTCCAAAATGAGAAACCCTGGTGAGGTATACTGTACATAAGTAAAGTGTGCAGGCACATATGTGGTGATCAAATAATCAATAGATAAATAGGGTGTTGTAAATGCATAATGTCTGTTGTTTACTTTTTAAATGCTATCCATACTAATTTGAGCTATTTTCCTTAGGTTGGTGTTTATTTCTATGACAACGGTCATGGAGTTCTAGAAGACAATGATATCTTCAACCATCTGTACTCCGGAGTTCAGATAAGGTAAGCTACAGACACTAGTAGATTCTGTCATTTTTGTAGTATGTTTTTGTGATGATGAGACCAAAGTTGACTCTTAGTGTCGGTTGTCATTCCAAATTGAATTACAGTGGCATGTTACATGAGGTTTGTCTTCGAAATAAAATTCCCTGTTCTGTAAAATCAAAAAATTTTATTTTAAGGGTACAGAATTTTGTACAAACCTACAGAAGCATGTTTTCTATTTAACATAAGCAACAGTTAATCTAAATGCACTTTTTCATCTGATGTAATCATCTATCAAATGTAGTGACGTGTCTGCTTCAACCAAAGTCTTTATTGCAGCATTTGTTTTTAGCACAATTTCTTTCTGCTTTGATTTTTTCTTTTTACTTCTTTCCCTTTGTTATCGGCCCCTCACAGTGTTCATTTGCATAATTCGTTCTATTTGGTGTTTTTTCCCCCAGAACTGGAAGCAATCCTTTCATCAGAAAGAACAAAATCTGGGGTGGCCAGAATGGTGGTATACTGGTCTACAATGGAGGCTTAGGGATGATAGAGAGCAATGAAATATTTGACAATGCTATGGCTGGCATCTGGATCAAGACGGAAAGTAATCCCATCCTGAGGCACAATAAAATTCATGATGGAAGGGATGGAGGAATTTGCATTTTTAACACTGGCAAAGGTAAGAGGGTTTTTCTCATTCTCTGTCCCCTTTTTTTTTTTTGTTGTTGTTGCAATTTAGCAATGCCAATCGGGGTTTCCCGCGGGCCTAAAATTTGGTCCCCGTTTGCAGGTGATTTTTTGGACCGGGTCGTAGCATAGGTGACTAACTTTCTCAACCTCGGTCTGCTCTTTTTCTGAACCAATGTAAATGAAACTCGGCAACCAATCAGAAAATGGTTCAAACTAATGATATGTGGACGTTGAAGTTCGTACCCATAAATGAACCTATACTTTTGGTGTCGGGAACAGTTTCGTATCGGGTGTATTGAAAACTATAAGGAGCTTGAATTTCAATGCCGAGATGGTAATAGATCTATCTATCCTGTATAGTGTGCTCAAATTTGAACGTTCTGTGTCGAGTAGTTGTTTAGACCCTATCTTAAATGCCCGACTACCCCCCTATCCAAAGCGGCTTCACATGGAGACCGGCCATTTTCCCCTCACTCTCGTGGCAAATGTATATGACCTACAAACCCCTGCATTACTATTCCGAGCCCATTCATTGGTCACTTGAAATAGGGCAAAGGCGGGCGCGTGCATCCGATTGTTTTTCTCTCTGTTCCCCTGTAACATCGCAATGGGGGTATTGGGAGGCGAGTTTATCTCAGGGTGTTCGCGTCTCAACAGGGAAAAAGAATTTTTAATTGTACGGCATGCTAGATTGAATTAACTTATCTTGTAAGGTTGGCATGGTCTAACGTCATCAAAGAAAGCTTTTCCTTTATTTAGTAATGCTGCCAACATATATTTAAAGATCCCATGTTGTGATAAGATGCTATAAATAAAATGGACTCATCCCGACACCCCTTTTTCGCAAAATCGTAATATATACTCCAAAATTTTAATTATAACAAAATAATTACGAAATAGTAAATCTGACGGCAGAAATGATTTCTCCTCCCTAAAACACATCAGGTCGCCAAGTTTCTTTCTAACACTCCAATTAATTACCGAGATATCCTCGATTATCGTACAGAATCTGCTACGGCTTGGTCCACTGTTTAGGAGTATTTTCCTATATGTGGGTCATCCATGTTTTGCCGACATTTACAACCCAATTACTTTTTTGTTTATGAACCGATTCTTAAAATTCAAGAAGCATAATTCTTAGAATTGAAAATTCTTTCTTAGGTACCAACTAAAAAAGGGCTAAAGCGAAAAATTAAATTTTCATTGGTATTGCTATGCAATTTCCAGTCTTTGCATGGGAAATTTTAATACAATTTCTTTTAAGGATACATTGGTGACAGAAGTTGCACCACTGTTATGGTCTTTTGTTTGAATTTAATTATTGCAACAGGTCTCCTTTATGAATGCCTTTTTTTAACAATCTTTTTTAACCCGTGTCCTGCGGGAGCCGGGTTTATGTCGCCCGATAAGCCTATTTTGGCACCTCGCCTACGTTCTGGTCCTGAATCAGTGTAGCCCCTGGCTCAGCGCACGTGCACCGCGCATCATCTTACGTGAAATTCGGGTCCCGAGTCGGATCCCCATCCACGCAGGTCAAGTGTGTGTGCGTCAGTCTGCTTGAGTTTGTGTGCATTTGTGGCCTTCTTCTAGAACCGCCTGCGTTGGTTCATAATCGAGGCATACGTCTCATTCAAAACACACCAAACTGGTAGCTCTAGATGTTCGTCCAATGAAATTATAGAAGAAATTGACCCTGTTAGACATGAGGAGCTCGAAAGGATAGTCAGGAAATAAGACTTCTTTTTTTTCTATACAAAATCTTTCAAATGAGCTTGATTTTGTATGAAATGGTACTACCTGATAAAAAATAAGCTTGTTTGATAGTTTTGAATACCATTGTGCAGGTACAAAGAACAATTTGAGTGCAAAACTTTCGGAAATTGACCTATATTATCTCCTTTCGAACATCAGGCCATTCATAACAACAAGAGTGTCCAGAAAGGTTATTCAAATGGGCGTAACTACTCGTAATGTCTTATCAGCTTGTGAGGGGGGGGTTATTCATGTGTTTGTAACTCTTTACAAATAGAAAGCTAGGAAAGATAGATCGTTATTTTCATCATCGATTAACACACTCCCACGATATTCATGGCGAAAACACACGTTTCCCGGCGCGCGCTCTGTACACCAACAGTACACACTGAGTGACCCCAGCGGCCTGCCCGGCACGTCCGACGTAATCGGTTGCTGGTAAGATTCGCATTTCGGCACAGACGCAGGACAAGAGTTAAGCTTAAACTGTTAGTAGTCTAGTCTTTTGTGCTGGATCATAGTGTACTACATCTCCTCAAAACATTTCAATGTGAGCTTGAAAGATGCACATTCATCTTGCCATGCAGTGACTAGAGAGAGTCACTCGGTGTTTTGTGTCAACATATTGGACAAGATGGCTGAGCTACTGGGAGATCAGTAGGAACTCCTGATTGATAGTAGAATATGATAGGTTTTTGTCTCTGTCCTGTGGTGAAGAATGTTTCTTGTAAGATTGGTATTGCTCTGACCCGCAGGCCTCCTGGAGAACAATGAGATTTTCCGGAATGCCCAAGCTGGTGTTCTAATCAGCACACAATCCCACCCAATCCTGCGGCGCAATCGTATCTTTGATGGGTTAGCAGCTGGGGTGGAAATCACCAACAACGCCTGTGCCACTTTGGAAGAAAACAAAATCTTCAACAACAAATTTGGAGGTTTATGCCTGGCAACTGGTGTTGATCCAATCATGAAAGGTAGGCTCTATACACCCTCATTGTCTTATTGTAGGTTGTTAGTGGTCACTATTCAGCCCTACATCTGTACATAGTTGAACGAACCATTGTGTGTGCATGCTTGAGGGGGGGAGTTGGTTTGCTGTCTTTTGCACTATTTTGAAATGGAAGAACAGGGGTTTCGGGGTAAGTTGTCCTTATTGCATCCATATTTGTCATAATAGGAGTATTCTTCCTTGTTGGAAGACTGTTTATCAATGTTGTGGGCTGTTAAGTTTCCCTACCTGACTCAGAAATAGCTGTAGTTGTGGGTAATGCTTAGGTTGGGAGAGAGCTGGCTACTGTTTACTCAATGATTGTAATGTGATAGATTTTAGATGTCTTGATCTGTTGGAAGTCAGCAGATGTCTCTCAAATGTTGTTCATTTATTCTTAAGAATGGTCTCAATTATCAGGGTTATTGGCCAGACAGAAGCTACTCGTTCTGAATAGCAGGGTAAAGTAGGTCAGAGTGGAGATTATATTCAGTTGTCTGACATCTCATATAAATACTAGTCACTGTTGACATCTGTAAGAAATGTTTACTGAAAAAGGCCTTTATTCCAATCCCTTGAAACACTTGCTTTCTGAGTTTTTTTTCTATGATATACAATTAAGAGGTGTGTACACGACATCTTTTTGTGTTGCCTATGTGTTTGTGCTGACAATAAAGTGATAATTTTTCTATTTTCAGACAATGTTATATTTGGCAACCACAACATGGTGGACAGAGCTGTGAATTCTGGCCAGTGCTTGTACAAAATCTCAAGCTACACAAGTTTTCCCATGCATAAATTCTTCAGGTACAGGCACATAGTGAAGAATCACATAGTTTTGCCGTCATGGACTCTTATTAAGTCCTTTCCTTTCTTGGTGGCTGAGAGATACAGCACTGTTCAAACATGGGGGGGTTTCGTTTTTCACGAAATTTAGAGACTTGCTGCAGGCATTTTTGCTAGATGGCATACAGTGATTTCTCACCTGTGGTCCCAGGAAAGCTGGAATTTAGTACCAAATCGCTTTGCTTCAGTTCAAGAAACCCTGCTGGTACGGTTTCCATGTTTCACAAGCTGAAGACTCCTCAGCTTTTGGAAGCGGGAAGATGAGCTGGCCAATGAGGGCTATGCAAACAAAATTCTAATGTGGACCCTATTTATAATTGGAGAAATTCTTGGTCATCATCATTAGTGAATGGGGGTACTTTCAAAGACAGCTTAGACCAGCCAGGAAGGTGAAAAACAAAGGGTTCTTGTAAGAAAATGTGCCACTTTTGTGTAACATCAATAGCACTCTTGGTTGAAGAAGGTACAAATGGGGAGATTCAGGTAACAGAAAATATGATGCTATAATGGTTTTTGAAAAGTTGTTGTATAATATTGTTGTAATTTACAACTGAAAAGGTGTAAAAAAAGAAAGGTAATAATGCATTATGTGGGAGATTTGACCTAACTACTTATGTGTCTCTGTAAACATCATTCTAAGGTTGCTGCTAATGTTGTGATCTTGATGGTTTGTTTTTTATTGTTTTTTGGGGGGGAGGGGGGTTGATGTTGTTATGTTCAATGGGATATGTTTATCTTATTCAAATGTAGCTCATGCTAATGTATTATCATGATGAATTTATTCAACCGGTGTGAAGATGATGATGTCATTGTTATTGAAATGTACCCTTTTTGTCCCTGTGTAGGTGTCGAACCTGCAACACTACGGAGCGTAACGCCATCTGTGTGAACTGTATCAATACATGCCACGCAGGCCACGACGTGGAGTTCATCCGACACGACCGCTTCTTCTGTGACTGTGGGGCCGGCACGCTGAGTAAACACTGCCAGCTACAGGGAGAGCCCACCCAAGACACAGACACTCTCTACGACTCAGCTGCCCCCATGGAGTCACACACGCTAAGGGTTAACTGACGTCGGGGTATTCCGAGGGTTAAATGACTCTGAGGCACTGAGGGTCAACTGAAACTGGGGCGCACTGAGGGTCAACTGAGGCTGGGGTGCTCTGTGAGTGGACATACTGTGGGGCATCCGTATGGTCAGCTGACACTAGGACACTCTGAGGGTCAACTGATACTGGGACACTGAGGTTCAATTGACGTCAGGGCACCCTGAGACTGAGGGTCAGCTGACACTTGGGCACTCTGAGGGTCAACTGACGACGGGGCATCCTGAGATTCTGAGGGTCAAATGACACGTGGGCACTGAGGGTCAGCTGACGTCAGCGCACCCTGGGACTCTGAGGGTCAACTGACGCTAGAAGACTGCGAGAAAAAGATAACCACACGCCTCCGTGTTTGTTTTGTCCCACTTTTTATTGATCAGGCATGCCAGATGGGTGGGCATGAGGTGGGAAGGTGAACTTTGCTGGAGGTGTCCTATTGCCATCTTTCATTCTCATGGTGCTGAAACTTCACCTGTGTCAAAACCGTGGAGGGAGAGGGGGGATGTTGGGAGAGCGAATTCTCCACAAGTTGAGTGGAAGTAGAAATGCAACACTAATGATGAAGTTACTTTATGTGTATGGTGTTGCGCTGATCCACAACACTGAAATACACACTAGTCATTTGCAGTCTCTGTCCATGTCGCTGGGGTCAGACTCTGGTTTGTCAAAGTAGAATAATATTTATTTTCAAGGACACAAATACGGACGTCATTCTTTGACATTCAGTCTTTGTTTTGTCTTACTTAGAGAATCAAACGTGGACAAGTGTCAAGAGCCCGGTCTTAGACAGACCTTCCTCTTTTGGTTTTCAGTGATGAAAGTTTGCATGCCAACATCTGTTGGGGACAGGAAGTAGATAGACGTTAGCATATTTTAGTGCCGAGTTGATTGGTTTAAAGAAACACCAAAGACCTTTATGGTATTTAATGAGAAAATAATTTGAAAGCTATGGTGCACATGTTTTTGTTGAGATAAGTGTTTGTAAAATAATGATTATGTGTGTGATTGTCTTTTTTGTCTTGTAGTTTTGAGTTTTTGTTATTTTCAGTGTTAAGAGGGGATTGTGTTTGTTTGAAAATTAACTGCTGCTGGAGTGATCTCAGTTTTTTGTTTCTTGTCTTTGTGTGTAGGTCTATGTGGTTATTTTTAGGTTTGTCTTTTTACTTTTTACGTTTCTGAGCTGATTTGATGCCTTCACTCCTTTTCTTGTCTGGATTTTTGTATGTTGCACTTTTTCTCAGGAGTGATATGGCTACCTTAGTGGTTCTCTGCTTCTGGTGAGCTAATATTATCTCAAAACTGCTCCTTATCATCATTCAGAAGTACACAAGTTCATAGTCACACAGGTTGGTGGAACATTCAGGAGACCTGAGTATTGTTCTTCTCATTGGAAGGTTTTTACTGGGTTCCGTGTCCCAACTCCCCTGTAAAGTGACCAGAAATTTTCTTCACTGGGCCTATATTTGGTGTGTTCAGGGTAGTCAGGTTACCAAACCAAGTATCTTGAGTGAGCAGGGTTGTGGTTTCAGACAGACCATTGTTCTGCTTCTTTTTTTTTTTTAGATGCTGGTATCTGCTCTTTGACTTCAAATGTGTCCAGATGTTTGAAAAGTGTTCTGTGGTTCAGATTGAGACACATAATATGTTCTTCGTTTCTCTAAAAGAAAATTCTTCTGAACAGGTGCTCTTGTTATTTTTGGTCTTTTTTTAATGTTCTTATCTGATGTTTCAAGAAGAGGTTTAATGTCCCGTCAAAACAAATCATCAAACTTCATTTTGTACTAGCGAGGATATGAATTAATACTTTTATTTTAAAAATATCTGCTGTGAGTTGTTTTAATGAAATTGTTCCCGCTTGAAAGGAGTAATGAGTTGCATGTTTTTGAAAAAATGTTTTTCTCCTGTTTTCTCTGTTCATAGCACAAGGTGTAAGTTTTATTCATAGCTCTACAATAGGCTGCTTTGATGTTCAGGGCATTATGACTAGTTATTTAGTCACTGAGTTTATTTTTTATGATAAAACTGGGCATGTAGTCTATGGAATCTCCCAACAGTTTTACTTACTTGTCCCATATTGAATGTGTAGTAAAATCTGTAGCAGAGGGGCACTATCAACTCCACTCTATGGTTCCTGGACTGCAAGTTTTTTTGGTGTCTTTTTTGTTTGGGAGGGAGTTCTTTTCCATGTTGTTATTGCACCATTCTAAAGTTTCTGAATGTCAGTGACATGCTGTTTTTGGTATCTGTTAGAAATACATCTTCTATCATCTAAAAGTAGACTGGAATCTCTTCATTTGTCAGGCCTTTGGAAAGCCAGCCCAGCCCGTCTGTTTCCCCTGCACAATCTGTACGAATCTTTCTTCTTTTTTTTTGGTTAAGATTCCAGACTGAGATGGGTGTCTCTATATACTTACACACGGACACATGTCACATGATGTCAGTTTTGCTATGCTCATATGATTAGCACCTGGGGTGCTTTCCCTGCTGCAGATGTGTTATTGTCTTTTTAAGAATTTTCTTATACACAATGGTGTCTGGTGTTCCACATCTCTCTAATGACTTCTCTGTTGACATCCACCCCTTGGCGCTCATATGACCTTATGCAGTTGCGAGCGCCGTAAAAACTGTACTAAAACTAAATGCTGTGCTACTGGTCATGGTGATCGTCTCATTCTGTTTTTGTTTCAGATGGTGTTTTCTTAGTTATAAACTTAAAACAAGGTTAAGTTGTGACTAAGAAGAAGATGGTACTTTCTAGTGCAGCAAGATTTGCACATTTGTAAATATTTGGCCAAAAAGAGAATTGTTGGTAGTATATGGTGGTGTTTGAGTCATCTTTTGGGTATTCATGAAATGGTCTTTCTTAATTACACTTTGATTGATTCTCGTTTGGCACTGACCACACGTTTTGTCTCGTAAAACACCTTGGGTGGGGGTGGGGTATTTGGACATAGACGGGACTCCCGACAGCTCCCACTGTCTTGTGCTGCTGTGTGAGCTCAGGCTGTAAGTAAGCAGCGCAGGAAAAGAATGTTCAGATTTGCCAACTAACTTGTGGGTCATTTCACTTGATGAGTTTAGCATAGTGTGGACGTTGTTGTTGTTTGTTACCTGTTTGCTCATCAGTTGTCTATGACCAATGTTAATTATATGTATAATTTATTCTTTGGCCAATATGATGAAGTGCCTTTAGGTTTTTATTTATTTAAAAACATTTTTTTAGATGTAAGAAAGCTACGAAAAGGGACTAATATTTTCCATTGTTTTATTTTTCCAGACTAAAGGCAGAATAGTTCTTGTTTTCTTGGTTTGTGATATTGCTTTGTTTGAGGAGCCTTGATCTAGGCACCAAGCAATGAGACAATAAGTTATGTTGTGTGAACCTTGAGTTCTCTCCCTGCTGATGCTAGCCCCTCTGGGTGAGGAGTTGTGCGCCCAGCCAGAAGAGACTGACACCCAACAGTATGAGTGTCATTGCCCTGTTGTTGTGTTTTTTTTGGAGGGGGGGGGGGTTGTGTGTCTTGGATGTTTTTACTTGACAGTTTCAGGTCGTGACACATACTCCTTCAACACAATGTTAGCCAAAGCAGCGTTACTCCACACCTCCTGGTCACTGGGCTCTCCTGGTTCAGTCAATGCTTCTGGTGATCCAGCAGGCGGTGCTTATGAATTCTTACACTCTTTTAGTCTGGACTTGATCGTTGTTTGGATGCATTCTTTTCTTGTTTCTTCCATTTTGATTGTGGGTCTTACTGTCGCTGGGCACTTTTTTGTTTTCCTCGCATTGACGGGAAGTTCATCTTCTGCCAGAGTCAAGTTGTCTGGGCAGTCTCAGGTGAATGTTTCCTGCCTGTCTTTGCTGACTTCAGCAGGTCATATGTAGTTTGTTGTTTATTTTTGTTTGGTTTGTTGTTGGTTTGTTTTTTTCTTTAGGGCACAGTCTAATGTGGGCCACTGTTCCCTCAGCTGGTACTGGGGCTCTCTCTGGTTCTTTTGACGGTAGAAAGGAATGTTCATGACTGTCCTTCTGCCGGGCTTGGTTGTATCGGAGTTTTACTTTTTGTCTACAATCCTGTCTCTTCTATATATATATTTCACACTCCTTTCATTACTCTAAAGTTATATATATATGTATTATATA